CCACTTTTTCTACAACTTTATATGCATCTTGTCTCAAGACAAGTATATTTAACACAACAAGTGCATGTCTTAGCTTTTTGGGCATGGATTATTAGATTTTTTATATGGGGGACATGAAATGTCCTCCAATTCTGGAATGACCCAAAAATAAAATGTTACCATTAGTTCTTAATGAAATTGATACGGTTTGACTTTGTATTAGTAAGCCTACTACTAACAATACATTGAAGTACTTTTACTGTGTATTTTTTTGAGAAATACTCTGTCAAAGTCCCCTCCTGAGAACAAAATCAAGCCACTTCTTCTAAGTTTGATGAGGGAAAAAAATATTTTTTGGGTGATTTAATGGGTGATGTAACATTAATGACAGACATAATATGAGGTCCTTGGCACTCTAGAGGGGTCATTTTGTGATCATGGGGCATCACCCTTACAGCATCAGGACAATATCATATGGAGTCAGATACTGGAAGTGGGCTGGAGGCGTTAACTGGGACTGATGGAAGGATGAGGCTGATGAGACTGAAGAATCTGCGAGGAACGAACTAGCGGCAGAGGAATAATTATATATTAAAAGACAGCAGCATCATAAGAGGGCAACCATGTGACAGAGTGTGTTACTTTGCTGAAGGATATTTGTGACCAGCTATCCATTCCAGGCCAGACTCTAAAGACTTTCCAAGGTGTGAAAATGCTGCTGCCGGAGTACTGACTGGAAGTATTGCTGATATCATGTCTACCATCCTCTTAAAATACTCTGTCCAACAATATCAGTCTCAGGAAGAAATGTTTTTTAACGCTTATTAAAAGAAAAACATGCATTCTTGTACTCAGGAGGGGACATTGACAGAGGATTACTGGAAAAGTACACAATAAGTACTTCATAGTACTTGTGGGGGTAGTTTCAGTAGTACTGAGTCCAACAGGATCAATCTCACGAAGAACTAATGGCAACAAAAAAGAATTCCCTCATCAAACTTAGCAGAAGTGGCTTGATTTTGTTCACAGGAGGGGACTTTGACAGAGTATTTCTCAAAAAATACACAGTAAAAGTACTTCAATGTATTGTTAGTAGTAGGCTTACTAATACAAAGTCAAACCGTATCAATTTCATTAAGAACTAATGGTAACATTTTATTTTTATCATTCATCAAAGATAGCAAAAAACATGCATTATGTACTATGGAGGGGACTCTGAGGATTACTCACAAAGTACACAGTAAAGTACTTCATTTTATTTCTGGTTGCAGTCAACTAGTACCAAGTCCAACAGTGTCAGTTTTATTAAGAACTTGTGGTAAAAAATATTTGTATCACTCATTGAATATAGCAGGAATAAAAATGAAAAGCAGCTGATTGACCGAGTGCAGAATCGCTGTATACAGGGGCGGACTGGGACAACAAATCAGCCCGGGACTCTCGACCGGCCCACTTCGGTACCGCCGGCCCACCTCGGTACCGCAAGTAAGCGGCCCACCTCGGTGGTGCCGCAAGTAAATACCGCGAGGAAATTGTCGACGGGGGGGGAAGGGGGGGTGAGCAGTGACTTATCCGACCGGCCCACTTCAGTACCGGCCCATCGGGATTCGTCCCGAACGTCCCCTGGCTGTATATATAGTTTAAATCTCTTTAGTTACAATGTTGTCCATTTTAGACAAAGGCTTATTATATTTACAGCCCCTAATAACATTTATTTTCTGGGCTCAATATGTGTCTTGGCTGTTTTCGTTGTGATCGCTAAATTCACCTTGTTTATAATATTATCACTATAACACCTGTCATCAGACTGGCAAGAGCTGTTCCATGCTCTGCTCAACCTCCCGTCTTCCCAATGGACTCAGTAGCGCCCCCTGCTGCCGTGTAGCATGTGTGAGTGAGCATGTGTGACTGTGTATGAGCCAGCCACGGCGGAATATTACTGCCAAAAGTCTCAGTCACGTGACTTTTGGCAGTAATATTCCAGTCACGTGACTTTTGGCAGTAATATTCCGCCGTGAGAAGAAAAAGTTTTGTACTTGTAAAAAAAAGTTTTGTAGTTGTAAAACAAAGTGTTGTAGTTGTAAAACAAATTTGTGTACTTGTAAAAAAAAGTTTTGTAGTTGTAAAACAAAGTGTTGTAGTTGTAAAACAAATTTGTGCACTTGTAAAAAAAAGTTGTGTACTTGTAAAACCTAAGCTGAATTTGTCTCTGAAACATGATTTATTAGAATAATGTTATGTGTTTGTTTGATAGATACGTTTTTTCTTTGCAAAACTAAATTCATTAGTTTGTAGATGGTGTTTTGTATTTGCAAACCACATTGTGTTTGTTAGTGAATCATAAGGCATTTGTAAAACCTGTTTAGTTTGTTTGTGGAGTTATGGCAGGAAATTAGCTCCATAGTGGGGTGTCTAAAGTCAAAGATGAATCTTGATTGGGCCAAATTTCACCTCGAGTCACCCACAACAATTCTGCTGGGTCTCCCCCCTAGAGATCTTCAGACTTGGCAAAAATTATCCAAATCAGTTTTGTAGTGTTTATATATCTGTTGTGGAGGTGGAGGATATCATGGAGCCTTGTTCCGATAAAAAAACAGAGCGTAGCTATTATATAATTTTAACTTGAAACGGGTCACGGGAGACCCGAACACAACATAAGGGTTAAACAAAATGTGTTATATATTCAACAGTACAAATACAGTGAACAGTGACCAATCTTTCCTGCATTTAAAAAATATATATTATAGTTTTTGATCGCCATTTCTTTCCCCAGTGCAAACACAGTGATTGCCTCCACTAGGATTCCTACCTGTGTGTTTTCTGCTTGCTGTATATCAAAGGAGGCTAAATGCTGCCCTCTGGTGGTCAACACGAAAGATCGTTTTTGGGATTTCTTGTGAGGCACTTGTCTCTGTAACAGCATCATATTTAGACATAAGAAAGGCAGTAAATGAAACAGAAATATAAGGATTCACAGTTCAACAGAGGTACCATGACATGAGTAAAAAAAGGGATGTTTTTTTAAGCTTAATTTATTTATTCACAGCAAAAAATGACACACCTACTTTGGCATTATGACTGTTCTATAGATAATATATTAGCAAAGACCAGTCTATTTAAACATACTGAAGATACAGAGCTACATTAGCATTTATTTGGAGACACATTTTGGTTTACCGGATGATTGTCTTTCCAATACTCACTCTCTTTCTCTCACTTCGGCCAAATGTTCACCAGCGAGATGCTAGCTTGTTTCTGCCCCGAAGCTTTTCCGTGTTTGATGAGGATAATTAAAGTTAAACTGATTGCTTTGTTTGCTCATTCATCAGCTGTTGCCCCCTGTTTTGTGCTGTAAATAATAAATGAGAGATATTGTGTGCGGCTGGAAATGATATGGATAACTGATGAGAGCAGAAACAAGGCGTACAACCAACATCTAAAAGCTGTCAAACATGAACAAATTAGCTTTTATACATGTCCAAAATAAATACAATTATAAAAACATTTCAATACTTGCTTCTATTCTTTACAATACAGCTCATTTGGACTCATTTAGGCCAGTGCTTTCCAACTTTTTATAGCAATGGCCCTTTCAAAAGGAGCAGCCTCAACAAGTTATTGCCTCAATGTGAACAGTGTGATCTTTTCAAATGAAGAATGATTTTTAATTCCCTGAGTTTTTTATTAAAGGGGCCGTATTCTGCTCAGGTTCATATCAGTCTATTGTGTCTATACTGTGACATGTCTCCAGCTGCAGCACCCCTTTTCACCCTCTGTCTGAAACCAGAGCCCTGTCTGCTCTGATTGGTTAGCTGGCCGGCTCTGTTGTGATTGGTCAACCGCTTAGAGAAGTCCCGCCTCTAAGCACGCCACGTACAATGTGTTGGAGCACTAGCCAATAGAAGCGCAAGTGTTACATAGTGATGTCATTATGTTCCTGAAGTAAACAAAAGAAGTCCAATGGAGGCGTTTCAGACAGGGTGGGGAGTGTGTGGGAAAGAAACTCAGGGATTTGATCCTTTGCAGACCATTTACATGCACAGAAACCAATAGAACTACATGAAAGTGAACACCCCAATTAGCATAATAGGCTTTTTTTAAGTCTAAATGGTCAAATATGTGTCCAACAGCTCATTGCATCTACATTTTTTCTCCATTACAATCATCTGTGGTCCTCTTCTCCATCTGCTTAGAGATGTCCCGCCCCTTAGCCTATCACGAACAATGTGTTGGAGCATTAGCCAATAGAAGCGGAAGTGTTACATATTGATGTCATTATGTTCCTGAAGTAAACAAAGGAGTCCAATGGAGGTGTTTAATGGCGCGTTTCCACTACAGCGCGGAGCACGGTTTAAGAGGGCTGTGACGTCAGCGGCCCGTTTTTGGTTGCGTTTCCACTTGGCCTAGTACCGGCCGGCGGGTCCTAATTCACAGTTTTTCTGGCCTCATAAAATTGTGGGTCTAGGGCCAGAGACAACGAGGCTGACTCGGGCTGAGTATGCTAAACTAGAGAGAGAATCGCTGGCAAGGGGGCTACAACTACAACAAGATGAACATATTTGACCGTGATTTAATTGTAATACACGTTTCAAAATGATGCCGAAGTAACAACATACTGATACCGGTTAGTAAAAACCATGAATTAATGCTTTGTCAAGTCTGCAGACAGACGGCAGGCGAAAAACCTTTTAAAATGCGTGTTTTCTAAATGGAGATTGGCTAAGCTAACGCAGTATATGCTCCGACCGTCCACACTCACAACAACGGCCTATACAGACATAAATAAAGCAGCGACTGTATTCACCATGACACAGGCAGTCTGTGGTTTGTACTTGTTTAACTTTTGTCTAGTTTCTGAACATATATGAGAAGCTGTGAGCTCTGAGTGCTAACAGCTAACGGCTGTGTTGTTTTTCTGGGGTTCTCATTGAAGATGACGTCACGGCTCCGCCTACACTGCGTTACAATAGATACTGCCCCAGTTCCTAAACTGTAATGGAAATGCGCCATAAAGTGAGCCAGTCCTAACGAGGCCTAGCCATACCGAGCGAGGCCGAGCGAGGCCGTGTAGTGGAAATGCGCCATTAGACCCCACGTGGCATAATAGGGCCTCTTTAAGGCTAAATGGTCAAATAAACGTGTGTCCAACAGCTCATTGCATCTCAATTTTTTCTCCATTACAATCATCTGTGGTCCTCTTCTCCACACATCATCTGTCTCTCTTCCTGTTTGCTCGTGATCTCATCTCTCTGGTTACAGTCTGAAGGAGTGTGTGTTTCCACATCCAGCGGCTGCAGAGCCTCAGGTTCTGTCTGCTGCTGTGTCTCCTCCTCGTCATTATCAAAAGACTCCCCGTCTCCTCCACTTCTCTCCTCTCTCCTCTCGGTGTCCGTCTCAGAGTTCTGCGACCCTCTGTCCCGACACGCCTGCCTGCGAATGGTCCGTCGGTTCCTGCTGCGCCGCGATTGGTTGCAGTGGAGCGTGCGCCTGCGATGCCATTGGTTGAGAGAGTTTTGCGCTTCGACGCTCAGCTGACGGGCGGCCAATCGAGGCCTGAAGCTGCTGATGTAGTAAAGAGAGGCGTATAGAGTTGTAAGGTAGTAGCCACCTGTTGATATAAGGAATACAGAGAGGGAAACATGAGTTGCTATTACTCGTTATTATAACTGAACAGTATCTATATCGTTTGATCATATCACACCTGTTTTCATTTCATTGCATTATCTCCCGATTCACTTAAAGGGGACCTATCATGCAAAATGCACTTTAGTACGTCTTTTATACATGAATATGTGTCCCCGGTGTTCCAGGGAACTCACCAAGTGTCAGAAAACACAACCCTTTCTATTTTCCTCCATACCCAAATCTCTAAAAAAGGGGCTGCAACGGATCTGATAAAAACTGATCCAGATTTGAACACTGTCCTGACGTCAGGACGGTGGCACTACGGCTATTGGGCCAACTCCACCAATCAGGAGGAGACAGCCACGGCCATTGCCGTTCGAAAGCGCTGGAGACGCTGTAGTACATATGCCAGGCCTGTAGGTGGTGCTGTTCTCACAGAATCAGCCCTTGCAAAAACAGGGCTAAAAAAGTGCAAATTGAGCGAAATGAGGCATGGCTAAAATGCATGATCTGTTTGGTATTTTGAAAAAAAAAAAGTATAAATATGCCTTTTATAGGTATGGTCCTACACTATATTATTCAAATATAGCATGATAGGTCCACTTTAAGATCAGACTTCCAGATTTTACTGTTAAAAAACTTTTCTGGTCCCCCTCTAATGAAAATAAAATATTAAACCTTTACAATCTTACATGGACTAGCACCTCCCTATCTATCATCATTAATTACCCCTCGAATATCTACCAGGCTCCCGACCCACGATCACATAATGCTTCCTTTCCATTCCCAAAATTCACAAATCATCAGTAGGTGGCAGAGCCTTATCCGTCAGAGCACCTCTCCTTCGCATCTGTCTTCCTTGTCAACTCATTTCCATCACCTAGTTCTCATCTTGATTAGCATCACTTCTGTCACATGCTTTTATCATATGGCACTACTTGTGTTGTTGTTCATAATGTTTTTATCATTTTTTTGCCATGACATTTGTATTTTTTTTTTGCTATGTACAGCCCTTTGAGGCATGTTTTGTGATGTGGGGCTGTAATACATTTTGATTTGACAAAATGTATTACAAGCTGAAAGTGAGAAATTAGTTGGAACAGCTACATGTAGTGACAACAGACCACTTTAACCCTTTAGTGTTTCAAAGTTGAATAATTGTCGGTGCCACTGTCTCAAAGACAACCCAAACATTTTCAGTTTTCCTCTGAGCTACCAACAAAACCGTCCAACTTGGAATAACAACTGTAAGCTATTTTGTTGATTTGCATCTTAGAAAAACACAATCTGATTAACATCTTTGCAGTGTATATTTCTAGGGCTTTTATAGTGAAAGGTAAGAAAATAACGGAAGTAGTGCATCGGAAGTTAACATCACAAGGGCTTCCTGCAGAGAATAATCTCATAAGCTTGTGCTGATAACAGATCTTACTTCCAGCAGGACCTAAAACACGTAAAAAAAAAACATTGACCTTGAGAGAAATGGAAGTGGTGAAATTCTGACTCATATCCTGCTTTGAAGATTCATTCACTCTTTGTGGGAGGAATGAAAGAGATAGCCATTAAGTTCAGACTCAAGAGCTTCAATGATGCAACTTTAAAAAAGTGTTAAACCTCGTTCTTTGTTTCCCATCAATGGAGCCTTCAGTTAGTTTGTACCTGGGAGCACACAGTGAAAGCTTGGCTTATAAAGAACCAATCTTGTCTTCTGCCACTTTAAAACATAACCAATATATGTGTTAGGAAATGTGGGTAAACATTGAATGAGTAGAACAAATCTTCTCATGCTAACCAAGCTGATGTTACTTGGATATTTAGCAAAACCTTCTTGGCATGTCATCTTTGTAATTGTTCTCAAATAGTATTTTATTAAACGTTTAGTCAGAAGAATGGGTCATAAATCATAAATCAGCAAGCTAATGGATGTTTGGTCAGTTAGCTAGCTTAGCTACAACAGCATTAGTTACTCCTGGCAGCTAGTGAGAGAAAAATGATTTAGTTACAACACACCTACATAAGTTAAATTCTGTAATTTAGTGATGGTTCTTCCAAAGAATTCCAGGAAACAACTAATGAAGCAGCAAACCGCCGTACTGTGTTTTTGGTGGAAATGTGTGTGTGTTACCCTGACGGTGTGTGTTTGCTTGTGTTTGCTTCCTCACCCTCTCCCTGCAGCTGTGTGGGGTCGAGCAGCTCCATCATGTAGTCCGTGTCCAGGTGTAAAGTGACCACATCGCTCCGGAGCAGAACCCAGGTGAGACAGGGCAGGAAGTCATCTGCTCCGAACGCTGTGCCTGCAGGAGAGGAGAGGAACATGGGAAGTTAACTCACAGACAAATAGACGAAGATGGCAATAGTAAACACATCCTTTACTCAAGTAGAAGTACAGATACTCGTGTTTAAAAATACTCTGGTAAAAGTAGAAGTACTGACTAAACTTCTTTACTCAAGTCAAAGTAAAGAGGCTTTGAAATGTACTTCAGTAAAAAGTACCCATAACTACCAGCTGTTTTAAAGAGTACCTGACCTCCCTTTATATTAATAGAACAATAATGTCATTGTTAGCTAATGAATGTTTCCATGCTGAACAACGGCAACATGACAACGTTTTCATTGGTCCCTCTTCTTTAGAGAAGACCAGGAAATGATGGATACACGGATCGTGTTCAAATCAATAGGCACGCAATGACTCTAAATAATAATGATCACGCCACCAAACACACATTCAAACTAAAGGAACCAGCCTGTTTGGGAAATGTAAGAAGTAGAAAGTACAGGTATTTGTGTTCAACATGTAAGAAGTAGAAAGTACAGGTATTTGTGTTCAACATGAAAGAAGCAGAAAGTACAGGTATTTGTGTTCAACATGTAAGAAGTAGAAAGTACAGGTATTTGTGTTCAACATGTAAGAAGTAGAAAGTACAGGTATTTGTGTTCAACATGTAAGAAGTAGAAAGTACAGGTATTTGTGTTCAAAATGTAAGAAGTAGAAAGTACAGGTATTTGTGTTCAACATGTAAGAAGTAGAAAGTACAGGTATTTGTGTTCAACATGTAAGAAGTAGAAAGTACAGGTATTTGTGTTCAACATGTAAGAAGTAGAAAGTTCAGGTATTTGTGTTCAAAATGTAAGAAGTAGAAAGTACAGGTATTTGTGTTCAAAATGTAAGAAGTAGAAAGTACAGGTATTTGTGTTCAACATGTAAGAAGTAGAAAGTACAGGTATTTGTGTTCAACATGTAAGAAGTAGAAAGTACAGGTATTTGTGTTCAAAATGTAAGAAGTAGAAAGTACAGGTATTTGTGTTCAAAATGTAAGAAGTAGAAAGTACAGGTATTTGTGTTCAACATGTAAGAAGTAGAAAGTACAGGTATTTGTGTTCAACATGTAAGAAGTAGAAAGTACAGGTATTTGTGTTCAAAATGTAAGAAGTAGAAAGTACAGGTATTTGTGTTCAACATGTAAGAAGTAGAAAGTACAGGTATTTGTGTTCAACATGTAAGAAGTAGAAAGTACAGGTATTTGTGTTCAAAATGTAAGAAGTAGAAAGTACAGGTATTTGTGTTCAAAATGTAAGAAGTAGAAAGTACAGGTATTTGTGTTCAAAATGTAAGAAGTAGAAAGTACAGGTATTTGTGTTCAAAATGTAAGAAGTAGAAAGTACAGGTATTTGTGTTCAAAATGTAAGAAGTAGAAAGTACAGGTATTTGTGTTCAAAATGTAGTGGAGTAAAGTACTGATACTAGAAAAATGTACTTAAATACAGTAACAAAGTATTTGTACTCCACTACTTCCCACCTCTGCAAATAGAAGTAAGAAAGTATGACAGCAATGATTAGAAAACACACTCCTGTCTACCTGAGCTAGCATTAGCACTCATGCTGTGATAGATGCTCTTGCAGACTTTCAGCAGGATCTGGACCTTCTTGTTGGGGGAGTACGCCTCGTGCATACTGGTCCACCTCTGCTGGATCCTCTCCAGGGTGAGAGAGTCGGGAACCCCAACGCCCGCAGACCCGCCCAGCTCCTCCACCCCGTTCTTCTCCAGAACGCTCATGTTGCTCTGCAGACGGTCGAAGCTGCCGTCGTTGGTCCGGGACGTGTGAATGCAGGAGTAGAGGTGAGCGGAGACCGGCTTCAGAGCCACTTTGTGGAGGGAAAGCTCCACCAGGGAGTCTGGAGAGGGGGAAAGTAGGTTAGTAGAGCACATTCGTACACAAAGGGAACTTAAAATGCCTTACAAAAACATTTAAAGGTCCCCTATCATACTGTTTTTCATCAATGTATTATAGGTCTCGGATATATACAAAACATGTCTCTGAAGTGTTTGGCTCCAAACACCAAACAGATCATTGCAGCATCCCATAATCCCCTCTGTTTCAGCCCTGTTTCCAAAGTGCTGATTCTCTGTCTGTTACTTTAGATGAAAATAAGGAGCCCCTCCCCACGCCCCTCTGAGAGTGATTTGGTTAAAAAGAACACAATGGTGCTCTAGGAGGAGATTCAGGTGATAAGGGGGGGGGGGGGGGGGGGGGGGGGGTGGGAGGTTGGTGATTGGCTAATGGTTACACAAGCCAACACATCGTTATGACATCATAAAGTGGCCAAAATCTGATCAGCTCATTTTCAGACAGGTTTTTATATAAATGGATCAGGACAAAAAGTGAGAGAATCTTTTTTCCTGAAACTTTCAGAGTCTCTTTCCACAGAGGAGACACATGTTGATGAAGAAGAGACATGAAGAAGAGGGGACACATGTTGATGTAGAAGAGACATGAAGAAGAGGGGACACATGCTGATGTAGAAGAGACATGAAGAAGAGGGGACACATGTTGATGTAGAAGAGACATGGAAAAGTGGATTCTGCATAATAGGTGACCTTTAAGAGATGGTGTAAAAGTGAATAATTATATTATGTGGCACATTTCAACAACGAGGCAATTTAAAATGCCTTACAAAAAACATTTAAAGCGTTAAGAGATGGTGTAAAAGTGAAAAATTATACAATTACATTCAAATACATAAAAAGAATACTCATTAAAAGCCAATAATATACAGATTGACAGGCTAAAAAAGAATAAGACAAGTATAAAATACACGGTAATATATGAATAGTGACTTTATTTAACAAAAGGCAGTGGCAAAAAGTGAGTCTTGCATAAGAGTTGCAGTGGACGCAGCAATTATTTACATATCTACTAATTTGCAAAAAAACTGCATATTTTCTGCCAAAGCTAATATACAAGCTGCTATAATCTTTTTTCAAAATTCTGACTTTTTATGAAAATCTAAGAATTCTGACTTTTTTCTCAAAATTCTGTCTTTTTTCTCAAAATTCTGACTTTTCACTCACCGATCTCTGAGTCATTTAGGTCGGTGATGCTGTCCAACAGTGCCAGGATGTCTGGATAGTCCAGCAGCGTCTCCCTCAGTGAGCTGAGCGATGACCTCACTTCCTGTAGGAACTCTGACCCCGTGACCCCGCCGTGATCACCAGCTTTCTTCAGCGTCATTTCCACAAATCCTTTCACGGCCTCTGCGAACGCCGAGCCTTTCCTCTCGCTCAGCTCCTGCACGCGATTGGTCAGTCTCTTCTTCTGGCTGACCAATCCGCCGAGGGCCTGACCCACGGCCGACAGACGGTGGATGACCTTGTCGGCCAATCGGTGAGCAGACTGGTGGTGTGGAACAGGGCTGGGGATCTGGTACTCCTGCTCCTCCTCGATGCTGCTGATTGAGAGCGAGTCGAGCTCCAGAGATGGAGGATGGAGCCGAGAGGAAGGTCTGGGAAGAGGAAGCCATACTCCATCCTCGACCCAGGACACCCTGTGGGGAGACAGAGGCACCGGGCTGCCGTGGGGGGGCAGCTCCAGAGACGCTCGGTTCGAACCCCCAGGGGTGGAGGGGGTGGAGGGGGTGAGGCTCCCAGAACTCACTCTGTAAACAGGGGGTGGAGGCAGAGGTGTTATTATAATTGTTGGGAAAATACTGAATGTCCTCTTCCAATATCAGAGTAACATGATAACAAAGGTATCCCAACTGTAGCTGTGTACATGACAGGGTGTATGATTACCTAGAAGAGCATCAGGAATGTTTTAGGCATATGATAGCTATGTGATTAACATGATGATTCAGCCTCTATGGAGATAGACATAGGACAAACACACACACACACACACACACACACACACACACACACACACACACACACACACACACACACACACACACACACACACACACACACACACACACACACACACACACACACACACACACACACACACACACACACACACACACACACACACACACACACACACACACACACACACACACACACGCAGTAAATACCTGTATGGAGCAGGGGAGGAGTCAGCGTCTCTGCTGGGCCTCCGGAGAACAACGCCTGCTGAAGTTTCTGATGTTGTCGTGGGGCAATGAGGAGAATCAGCTGACAAGGCTCTGGTCAGACCTGGAGAAGAAGAATGTGGATAATGAACACCGTGTTGGCATTTAATCCCACTGCAATGTTTTCGTACTGGGTAGTTGATTTACCTCCCAAAAAATGATACGTTGATTTACAGACGGATTTTTCCCAATGTAAGTCAATGGGAAAAAGTAACAAGGTAACAATATCTGTCTACCAGAACCTGGACATTTTACGGGCTAATATCTTGTTTGTTTATTTCTAAACTCACACAAAAATGTATATATATATTTTATATTATATATTTTTTGTGATTGAGCCATGCAAGAGGTTGTTCTTGCTTCCAGTGTTATGCTAAGCTAAGCTAGCTGACTCCTGGCTGTAGCTATACTGTAATTAACACAGAGACATGAAAGTGGTATGAATCAGATATCTCAAAACCTGGTAAATGAAAACTTCATGTTCAAACATAACCACAGGCAAATAACAAAGGGTTTTTGTAATAACTTCTCAAATATTGTATAAAAAGCAGAGGTGGGAAGTAGTGGAGTACAAATACTTCGTTACTGTACTTAAGTACATTTTTCTGGTATCAGTACTTTTCCCATACAGGCTGGTTCCTTTAGTTTGAATGTGTGTTTGGTGGCGTGATCATTATTATTTAGAGTCATTGCGTGCCTATTGATTTGAACACGATCCGTGTATCCATCATTTCCTGGTCTTCTCTAAAGAAGAGGGACCAATGAAAACGTTGTCATGTTGCCGTTGTTCAGCATGGAAACATTCATTAGCTAACAATGACATTATTGTTCTATTAATATAAAGGGAGGTCAGGTACTCTTTAAAACAGCTGCTAGTTATGGGTACTTTTTACTTAATTACATTTCAAAGCCCATACTTCTTTAAAGAAGTTTAGTCAGTACTTCTACTTTTACCAGAGTATTTTTAAACACGAGTATCTGTACTTCTACTTGAGTAAAGGGTGAGTTTAATATTGCCATCTCTGATACATGTATAGCAAGTCCTCACCAGAGGTCTCTGTAATGGCAGCAGAGTCCTGCTCCATGGAGATGGCTCTTTTACTCAGTAACCCGGCTCCTGCCCATGCTCTGGTGGAGCTGAGGCGGCGCTCTTTTCTAAAATTGGTGGGCGATGGAGTGGCGCTCTGAGCTGAAGTCGTCCTGTTGGTCAGCCAATCATCTCCATGTTCCCGCAGGTACAGAGGGTTGATGATACACAAGGCCCCGTTGGTGGAAGTCAGCTATAGAGGAAGTGAAGAAATAGGATGCGTTGACACACTTTCTACCACAATACAGGCTTTAAATAAGATCAAACTCATTGTAACTTCCACTCTTTGAGTATAATATCCGTCTCTTTGGATGCTCTTAGTCTCTAGCTGCTTGGTGACTGCACAGTTAGTGAATATCTGTGTACTCTCCTTTTATATAAGTTAAAATGTACTATATTAATTCTAGATTCCAGATTTTTTTTATTGCAGCAGCTGAAAACAAAACGAGGCATTGCACATAATAACACATTAAAAGTGTAGAAATAAAATATAAACATCGCAAAATAGAAATAGAAATAAAGCAGCATTAGAGAGTAAGAAAAATATACAGATGACCGTGAAGATATCAAATCTATAAACTGTCTGACAAATAAAAAATACTATTGAAGGGACAAGAAATCTAGTCAAGTAGACTCAAGAAAAGACATCAAACTAAGTCAAATATAAGACAGTTTAAATATATTCTGTGTAGAATTAAGGGATTCAGATTTAGGTCCCCACAAGAATGGTAATGCTAGGCCACACACACACACACACACACACACACACACACACACACACACACACACACACACACACACACACACACACACACACACACACACACACACACACACACACACACACACACACACACACCACACACACACACACACACACTCACACTCACACACACACACACACACACACACACACCTGTATGGAGCACATCACGTTGCTCGGCTCTCTCTGGGTCATCTCATCAGTCTGTTGGTCCGGCGGGGAGCAGAGCCAAGTTTCTGCATTAGAAAAGGTGTCATAGAAAAGACATTTCTTAAAATAAAAAACGTCTCTGGTTCTGGATTTCTGACGCAGCTTCTGTCAGAGGATATGAGACAGAAATGACGGACAGGAAGAACTCACCAGGTTCAAGTTGAGAGAGATCTCTGGTCTTCTCTGTCACACCGTACATCCAGAGAGGAATGGAGAGACAGAAAGCCAACACATCCCTGACACACAGAAAAATATATTTGTTAAACAAACAGAGTCCAGATGTAGAAGCATTTTCTGAGTAGTCGTCTTAATAGGGCTTCAGCTTATGATTATTCTTATGCTCGATTAATGAATTACGCCTCCATTCGCCTCCTTTGTTTACTTCCTGAACATAGTGTCATCACTTTGTAACACTCGCGCTTCTATTAGCCAGCGCTCCAACACATTGTACGTGATAGGCTAAGGAGCTGGACATCTCTAAGTGGTTGACCAATCACAACAGAGCCGGCCAGCTAACCAATCAGAGCAGACTGGGCTCTGGTTTCAGACAGAGGGTGAAAAGAGGTGCTGCAGCACAGGCAGTATGAGAACAATAAAGAGTCTTTTGAACATTAAAGCATGGACACATGTCACAGGAGAGCAGGGGCGTCAAACTCAAATACACAGTGGGCCAAAATAAAAAAAATGGGTACTAGTCGAGGGCCGGACTGGTTCAATGTTTATTGCAAAACGTATTGAAATGAACTTATTGCACATATTAAACCTGGAACTAACAAAGCTTAAATGATTGCCTATAAAAACAACATTAAACATTAAATAATCAGTTGCATTCATTTCTTATGGCTCTATCTGCAGCTTCTAATTTCTTATGATTACATTTCTCCACAGGCCAACAACAGCTTCAAGAAAACTATTTCCCTCAAAGAACAAACCAAACATGCCCTGTTGTCTCAAGAAAGAAAGTGCAGAAGGAAACATCCATGTAAACTCAGTGTGCTGCTCTGTGATGCTAGCTCAAGCCAGATACTTGGCATCTCATCTTGGGTGCAAGGTCATCAATGTTTGGGGTCAGGCTCTGAGCGGAGGAGATCCTCAGGATTGAGTGAAGGTGTGCGTGCAATATACCGGCGGGCCAGATCTAATAGTAATTAGAAATTATCCTTGAGGGCCTTGAGTTTGACATGCGTGCAGTAGAGGAAGAAAATACAAATATGAACCTGAAAATTAACATAATAGGACCCTCTAATATTAAAAAATGTAATAGAAAATTACAGAAAATACATATTTCAGTACATATACATATTTCAGAGGCTGGAAACAGGATTTCTGCAATTCTTGTACAACATTTTTCTAGATGAAAAATGTTGGATCAGAGAAACAAACATGAATCCAATATAAAAATAGTTAATGATACATTTTCTTGCAAACAACTAATCGATTAGCTTACTTACAAATGCATTTCAAATATATATAACTTAGGATGGAGATAACATGGTCAGCATGAAAAGACACATGCAGGTAATCATAGCAGTGTTGTTGCCACATTTAACTTACTGCAAACAAATCTTAGATAAGCTCACTGTTGTATGGAGTTCAACCATACACAACACTTTAAAAACAGCATCAGTGACCCAGCCGTTTCTTACCTGGTCAGCGAGTAGAAGAGCACGAGCTGCGCCAAGTCGGAGAAAGAAAGACGAGACTCAGACAGCTGGAAGACTGACAAGACAAACAGAGAAAGAGTAGGCCGAGTTAATTCTAATGAAAAAAACACATTCCTGGAAACTCACCAGAGCGTGTACCAGGAAGACAGAAAGAGAGGGGACTTCTAACGAATATGATCTGATGCTGTGTGTGATACCACTGGTAGTTTATTTTAGGAGTCACTTCACTTGTGTCTTTATCTCTAGATTGTAGATACAGTATTGCACTTCAAGTCTTTTAGGAACCAGTGTGTGCAGTTTGAGAGCCAGTTTGACGAGGTGTGTGTGACTCTAACTGCCCTCACCTGGTGCAGCTTTGTCAGGGTTGCAGTGTGCACTCGAGTTTAAAACAAAAAAAGCAGAACTACATGACGTACAACTGTTATCTGCCACTTGCTTCAAACATAATGACTCATAAAACACCCACTGAAAGCCACACAGAGGGCACTGTATCACACATACCACCCAAAGATAGAGGAAGAGAAAGATACATATGTGTGTGTGTTTGCATGCAGTCGGTCCATACCTGTGCCTGTGCTTTTGATACAATAATCAATAACTGCTTCATTATTGTCTCCTCCTGCAGACACACACAGCAGGCTGGGAACAGATGTCGTGGAGTCCCGTACAACCAGGAAACTCTGGAGAAAAGAAAACACACACACACACACACACACACACACACACACACACACACACACACACACACACACACACACACACACACACACACACACACACACACACACACACACACACACACACACACACACACACACACACACACACACACACTTAGTGACTCATTTCAGTATGGGAGGCGCTGAGCAGAAAGACGTTTTCTTTGAAATGCTCGTACTGGAAGCTACACACGGCAACCAGGCGGTAAATAGAGAAACACTGAGAGGACAGGCTCAAAATCTAAAAGGAAAGGAGAACTGATTTAAAACAGAGTATGGTAAATAATTAACCCGTGCTGGAGAAAGTAATACTACTCTGTGAAGATACTCCATTGCAAGAAAAAAAACCCTGCATTGATTAAGGTTCTTAACCCTCCTATTGTCTTCGTTTCCCCCCCCCCCCCCCCCCCCCCCCTTACTTTGGTGATCGCGGTCAAATTTGACCGGTCCTGTTTTAACTGCTATTACATTAACACAAAAACCATTAATCATCACCAAATTTCATTTAACACCCTTTCAAACTGTAAATATTGTATCAGACTACTGGCATACATGAACAACTGCAGTACATATACAAAGAATAGACACTGAACATGTATTGCGTGTGCCAGGTGTGATCCATGTGGGGGGATGGGCACATAAGGGGGGGACACATCTAGAGTATGTGTGTGTGTGTGTGTGTGTGTGTGTGTGTGTGTGTGTGTGTGTGTGTGTGTGTGGGTGTGTGTATGTGTGTGTGTGTGGGTGTGGGTATGTGGGTGTTTGTGTGTGTGTGTGTGTTATGGGTGTTACAAAGTTGACTAAATCATCCAATATTCAATGAAAGTGGTGATCAGCAATTTTATATGTTCAAATGTCTACTGTGAAGGATATCATAAAGCCTTAATGCAATCGAATGTAAAACAAAAAAGTTATGATTGATGAAAGTAGTAAATCGGTCAGATTTGACCCGAAGACAACAGGAGGGTTAATAGAAAGTAGTCAGGAAAATGTACTTATTAAGAGCATTGAGAGTAAAAGTACTCATTGCATAAAATAACTCAAACAATCTATACAATTATTTTAAGCACTCAAATGAAAGACACAGTTAGCAAAAGTGCTGCTCATGATTTTCTGCCAACTCACTCATTGTCTTAGGCACTTAAATATAATGTTGGACACTTTGATCTACATCAAAACACAGTATTTAACAGTATTTGCTATTAGTTTGTGTGACAAAGTCTGAATTTACAGTGTAAAGTAACTAAAGCTGTAAAATAAATATAGTGAAGTACAGGCGTGGAGGAGTGTAATTATAAAATGGCACAGAAAGAAAATTAAGTACAAGTACCTCAAATATGTACTTAAGCACAGTAAAGCTAATGTATTAGTTACTTCCCTTGGTATCAGCTCAGTGTGTTTCTATGACAGGATTTGATGATTGCAGGTTGTAACTGGTTGAGCCCTGAACCTGTTTTTCAGGTCTCAGGCTCGAAAATGACATTCCCAGAACAAATTACTATAACTTCACTTCTAAAAAGGGTTAAATTAATAATCTTTTTTCTCAAAGTAATGATAAACCTGTGAGTTGGATGTAGAAAAGTCAGAATCAATATAGATGTTTTTAATTTTAAAGTAAATTCAGATTGAACATAGTAAAAAACTGTAAATTATAGTGTCCGTACAAAAAGAAAACATTACTTATAGTGAAAACCACCCTTGAATGATGGGTCAGTAGACTAAAAGCTTTAGGAATCCAAAGTATAACATATAATAAGTACCCTGTATCAAGATTGATGCAAAACAAGTGACATTTGACCTTTTTAGAGAGATTTAGAAAAAAGACCCCACTTCTGGGGTCATTTGGGTGGATTTTCCATATCTCTGGCCCCCCTCGGTCGATTTTGATGATTGACACCTCTTTTTAACCGTTAGAGCCAATAGAATCGAGGGGAAGTTCCTAAAATCCATCTAAACATTACCCATTGGTGAATGAGTGATGTGCAGCCAGAATGCCCAAAACCGGAAGCTGCGATACACTCTGGTGGCTATCATTAGCAGCTAATATGAAATCTCCGTTTTTGACATAAAAATTGAATGATGGATTATCAGTAATCATTTCAAAGTGACACAGACACATTGGATTAACCTATGGATTAACCTTCAGCAGCGTTTTTATCGTTGTAATGCCATTGAACACGACTTTTGATCAGAATAACAGCTAAGGTGTGACGATCTCCCGTGAATGCTCCGTAATGCTACGTGTTGTGATGTCTGTGTTTACTTCCCCTGTCACGAGTTCTGATCGCTCAGTGATGATACTAATACCTCTATAATCTGTGGAATCTCAGCTTTAATCTGATATCTTGTTTGTGCAGTTACGATAAGTAATAAGGGTATTTTTACCTTGAGTTCTGTGCTAAGTGCGTTAGCATTTTTTCGCTCAGGGCTCATTTAGACGCTTCTTGTGAGACTTGTGTTTTGTTTCGGTAAAAATGGTTCGTATTGTCAGTTAGCTGATTTTCTTCCCGTTAAATGGGTATGACACATTAATAGGTTTTTAAATACTAAGAAGCCCTGAGACACAGTTTCGTGAAACCCCGCAGCCACCTGTACAGGGGGCTCTCTGGCTTAACAGGTTCATAAACAGCTAATTTACCCAGGGTTCATAGCTGCTTTATGACTCTGCAGAGGCCTGTAAACACCATCTGAGTGAAGGCCCACTCAGCTCAGATCCTCCCCTTTGTCAAATCCACAGTTGTTATAGTTGTTTCTTGTCAAAACGTTGTTAAAATAAAGCTGACACTAATATATATATCCATATGTTCCATTACATGAATTTAAAGTGTTTGTCAATGGCAGTAACGACAGCCTTTCACACCGATGAAGTCTATCCTACAGAAGGAATTTGAGCTGAGCTATGACAACTAGCTGAGTAATTCAAAGTATTCTCATAAGTTGTTCAGGTTCCTACGCCTCCTCTGAGTGGGCCACAATTTAAAAACTCATGATTTTGTTCCAACGTTGGAAACTTGACGTCAAAAGTAAAAAAAACGCAGTTGGTTGACACATAATGAGGTTGTGTAAAACAACGGCTCAGTCATGCAGTTGCATCACCACAACTGAATTCAGAGGTGCTCTCGGATACATACACACACACACGCGCGCACACACACACACACACACACACACACACACACACACACACACACACACACACACACACACACACACACACACACACACACACACACACACACACACACACACACACACACACACACACACACACACACACACACACACACACACACACACACACACACACACAGGAAGTGGCTGTCATTGTAAGAGTGCACAGAAATACAGATATAGACTTTGAGCACACACACAGGCAAATGTTATACGAGCAACTACTTTGTTGATTCATAACAGCAACATGTATGTATCTGATTCATAGGAAGAAGCACTGGAAACGATTCAAGGAGAAATGAATGAATACATTGTTTTGTTCAGCATTTCAAATCCGTAAACCACTTCACACCTATATTCAAAAAGTAAGAAGCTCTCAGGTTTTTCCGTGAAAGTTAAAAACAGACAATCCTATCCTCCCCCATGACCTCATACTCACGTGTCAAGGCCTTCCAGTTAAGAGATTTGCATTTGTGGAAAGTCATTTGCACGTCATGCATTTAAAAAACATAAATTTTAACATATTTTTCTCTCCTACTCACGTTCTCTGTTTGCAGCAGATGTATCCATTTTGTAATGTCATTTTTCTCATCTGCGCAGCGCTTTATTCAACTCCTACTTCTGCATTTGAGCCCCAAAAGTAGAGCGCTGTGTTATCAGATATAAAAGAGAAAAAGGAACTGCTGCCCTGTTGCAGCAGTTCCTGACATGTCAGTAAAGAACGCAGGAATCCCTAACGGAGGTTTTCTTTCCTCTTTTCAGACCAGCTTTAAGCTACGCAGTTTAGAGTAAAACATATATGGATGAGCAGAAACTAACTAAGAGATGATCGGGTGATATGAAGTGGGTAAAAACAAAAGAGAGGACATGCAGAGATGGGAAAGCAGAGAGATAACTGGTCAGAGATGAACACACATTTACAAATATCCTCTCTAATGTGCTCAAAAAACCATTATGAACATTGGGCAGTGAAGAAGACTTTAAGTAAAGTTATATATTCTTTCACCTCTAGATTTTGTTAGACGTTCATGCATGATATTCAGAGGGGAAAGAAGTACTCATACCGCGTACTTTAGGTAAAAGTAGAAGTACCAGAGTGTAGGAATACTCTGTCACAAGTGAAAGTCCTGCTTTTTAAAATGTTACTCAAGAAAAAGGACAAAAGTAGTAGCATCAGAATCTACTTAAAGTACAAAAAGTAAAAGTAGTCATTGTGAAGATTATAAATAAAGTACCTCAATATTGTACTTAAGTACAGTACTTGAGTAAATGTTACTTTACACTACTGATAATATATGAATGCACAACCATGTGTTCTTCTTACCAATCATATCTTTTTTGTGTGAATTGTTGTTGAGATTATTTCCCCTGCACTCCTGCCTTCAGAAAGTTATGAGGTTCATAAATTATTACTTAAACAATAATGATGCAATGCAGATGTTATTATGTAGTATTATAGAGTAGATATATTTATAGTCTTGAAGTGAGAAGCGGCTCTTTGAGGGCAACCATAACGCTAATGTGGCCCGCGATGACATTGAGTTTGTAAGTAATTTACGTCGAATGTGGGTTGTGGCAAAGTCTATTTAGAAGCAGCTGAATCGCTCATAGTGGTGATACTGAGTTGAGAATCTATGTAAAAAAAAACTTAAGATATTAAAGGTAGGGTAGGTAAGAATGGAGAAACCAGCTCGAGTGCGCTAGAATTTGAAAGTACACAACCGGAAAAAATCTGCCCCTTCCTTCAGACTTCCTTACAGAGCCCCTCCTCCAACACACACGAACGCGCACATGACCAATGAGGACACGAGATAAGTGTGTGCACAGATGGAAGGCTGACAGGCAGGTAGACCATCCAGTTATTTTAGCCTGGCCGGCTAAAATGATTGGTCGTGCTTTTTACAGCGCCACGGCTTCCACAGATGACATTTTTTATGTATTTATTGTCAAAGCATTTAATGTATTCATTGCTATCGGGATGTTAAGAGCATTCCATGGAATATAACAACAAGTGTTTCTGAAGTGAATTACCTACCCCACCTTTAAAGGTAGGGTAGGTAAGTTTGAGAAACCGGCTCGAGATCGCTAGAATTTGAAAATACACAACCGGAGAAAATCTGCCACTTCCTTATAGAGCCCCTCCTCCAACACACACGAATGCGCACATGACCAATGAGGGCACGAGATAAGTTTGTGCACGAGATGGAAGGCTGACAGGCAGGTAGGCCATCCAGTTATTTTAGCCGGGCCGGCTCAGATGATTGGTTGTGCTTTTTACAGTACTACGGCTTCCACAGATGACATTTTTTTTAATGTATTTATTGTCAAAGCATTTAATGTATTCATTGCTATCGGGATGTTAAGAGCATTCCATGGAATATAACAAAGAGTGTTTCTGAAATAAATTACATACCCCACCTTTAAGTAAAAGCTATTATACCACGCTGTAGAAATACCTCATGTATAAATGTTACTATAGTAAGAGTACTAAAGTATTACAGTGAAATATAAATAGTGTAAAACCTCTCATTATGCATATTAATCTGGACAGCAACCAAAGCTGTGTGTTGTGTAATAGAAGCTTCGAATGAAGAACAAAGCGAGTATAGTCCAAACTGAACGTTTTTACTTTTTACAGTTTCCAACAAGAACGGTAAAAGACGGGGAAAATGCACTCGACTTACTCGTATTCATTTCAAATCATAACAGGAAAGAGCATGAGCAGGACACATACTTGTTGCACTTCAAAATAAAAGCATTTCCTATCAAACATTTCACCTTTAACCTTTGTAAGGAAGCAAATCAACAAATTATTTTACTGCTTTAAATAAAAGATGTTACAACGCTGTCAGAGTGCAGCATCTTTCACTTGAACTATGGTACAGTAATTGAGTAAATGTACTCAGTTACTCTCCACCACGGGGTCTTTGATTGGCAGATTTGATCAGCTCACCCCAGCAGGCGTCCCACAGAGAGCCGCCCGGGCCCCCTCTCTTTCCCAGGGGGCCGCGGGGCACCAGGCGCACTCTGAACCCTTCAGCTGCTCCAGCAGGGTCGGCTTCCTCCGGCTGCTCCTCCACGGGATGGCCGTCGTCCCGTTAACCCGACCGTGAGCCGCCCGGGACGCAAACATCTGAGGACACGCTGACGTGCATGTACCACCGTCTGCACCCATGCACGTTAACATCACATTAGTGTGTGAGTCACATGAAGAGAGTCAGTCATAAAACAGGTGAACAGTGCTGACATAATTAAGTTTACAACTAGGATTTTTCTTGTTAAAGTTTTCAGATGTGTCTCATTCGTGCACATTATCATCAGATTAGTGTGTGGGTCACAGAAAGACAGTTCATCAAAACAAAGATTAAGACTGCAGGGAAATTAAATACTTCAAAACTATGATTTTTTGTGTGAAATATAAACATCAGATTAGCCTGTCACAAAAATGCTTAAGACTGCAGGCAATATGAACGTTAGATTTGGCTCTTCATTCTTGGACATACCTCAGATTAGCCTGTAAGTGACATAAAGGCAGCTTGTCATAAAAAAGAGTAACAGTGCAAGCAACACTTAGTTTAAAATGGTGATTTTTCTGGTGCAATTTAAAGCTATAAGTAAGATTTGAAGTAACATTCATGCATCAGATCAGTGTGCAAGTCAAATAATAACAAATCGTCACAAAAAAGATTAAGCCTGCAGGCAAGATTTAGTTTCAGATTAGGGTTTTTCTGGTGAAAATGAGATGAAAGTAAGATTGAACTGTTTAACATTCATGCACATAAACATCAGATTATATTGTAAACCACATAATGTCTGTATATCACCAACAATATCTACAGTGCAGGCAGGCACCTGAAGATTTTCTTGGTGAAAGTCTCCAGCCAAACATGCTTATTTATGGTATGTAAATGTCTGATACTTACATGTGTCGCTCAGTTAGTTCACGTGTCTCCTCTCCTCTCTACGGTGTTAACACATTTCTCCACATGTTGCAATGTTCTCTGTCTCTCGGACTCTTTGTGCAACACGTTGCTTAAGAGCTCAAAAATACCAAACAGGGCCAAAATAGGAAACGCACATCCTCAGAAACACATTGTCAAGACGTCTCCTGGTGTAAGAACATTTCAAAATGAAGTCTGCCTGACAGCGGCCTTGTTCTTCTGTCTGCTGCACATTCTGGCGTTTAACACACTTTCAATCATCATATCATGTGAAACTGTTCTCAAGCTGAACTTTTACCATCCCTCCCCTCCTCAAGTCAGCATGTGGTTAACCCGGCTCAGTGTGTGAACTGAGAAAAGACATTGCATGCTCTCTAAAAAGCGACATGTGCCTATTTTCAATCTGCTCAGATCAGGTTGAGAACAGAGAGACAATGCAGTACCACAACTCTGAGATGATATGTGTCCTTTTATCTTGCATCAGCAGCAGCAGCAGCAGCAGGAGGAATGAACATACAGATGCACACACTCCAAACGTTAGAGATGTTAAAAGACAGAAGACTGAGAACAGAGGGGGTTTCATGTCTCTACTTTACCTCACTTACATGCATGTGTGTTCCCCTGCTGCCCAACAGGCCCTCCTCAAAGGAAACCGCACTCAGAGGTGTTGCTGATTGGTCAACGTTTCCGTGGCAAGAACACTCACTGTCTCTCTTTATCGTGCACTTTCTGTTTAAAGCATTTCCTGCCAACACCGTTATCCGCATGGTGTCAATGACCAACATGCCAGGCACCTACAGTATGAGAGCACATATCAGGAGCTTGTATCACATTTATTCAAATAAAAGCAAAAGTAGAAGGGATGATTGCGTGCTTTGATGTGCTTTTTTCAGTCAGTGTTTTGCACCACACTATGTGGTAAAATCTATTGTGGGAACAAACATATTTTATAAAGCGTTTACCCTCACTTAAGAACTTAAACATTTAGAGAAACAACCTGCACCCAAAGGCACATCTGCACCCTATGTTCCCTTCTTTGTACTTGAGATTGCACTGACTTTTATATATGTTTTGATATAATAACTCATATTTTCCCCCCTCCCCTTTGCTGTTTTATTATTATTATTATGTGTATGTATTTATCTTATCTTATTATGTAGATACAGCTAAATGAAAATGGAAAAACTGTTGACCAAAATGTGAACATGTATGAATAATGAAACTGAATCTGAAATAAAAACTAAGTAAAAAAACAACTCATATTTGTACATATGTATACAGCTAACCAAATGTTATTATTGTTGATTTAAGCAATAAAGTTGCTTTTATAAAACGGTTACCAAGTGTGGCAATATGAAAGAAAAATACACACTCCAATTTAAATAGTTTTTATTAGTAAATAATGTTCAAAATAAAATAGTCCGTCCGTTGCCTTCTGCACAAAACATAGTGCGAGGTGGTTGCTATGCAACAACACTAACAGCTAGCGAACATATTAGACAGACAGCATTGATCGATTATTTGGCTATTATTATTTGACAGTTGCATAGAAATCTCTCAACATGTTATTGAGCTGCTGTTTTGTCGACGTCTGAAAGTCTATGACCACAGCTTTATCCTGACACCAGTCTTCAAAGCACTTAACTGCCCATTTTGTTTGTTCACGGTGTTCTGTTCGTTTCGTTTTTTTTTCAGTTGGTCTACCTGCTCTTCACGTAGCTCGTTTAGGTGCTTTTTTCTGGAGATAGGCACTGCTGCTCAATCCACTCCTCCATAGTAAGGCCACCCCGGAGGTCATAACCCGAAATGTTTCCATCTTAAGCTTTGTTAGTTAGTTAGTTTCGTAACGGACGTAATGTAACAGTTTTAACGGTTGTAGCTTTTTCTCAGACGCGGAGGGATACTGACTTGTGATATACGCTCATTATATCACGGATAAGAACCAATCAGATTGCTTGATTTAACTTATCCGTTTTATAAATTGTATTATATACCTTTACTTCATTCTTATGTTTCCTTGTGTGTCCTCCTACCTGTGCTATCTTGTGTTTAAAGCGTATTCCTGAAGCTGCTTAAACACCTGAATGTGGATCAGTAAAGGTTCATTTTATCTTATACTCCAGTGTCCAATGAGTTTCTATATTGCAAACATTAATATGTGCGACTAACTAAAGCAGGGGTGGGGAACCTTTTTCCTCTCAAGGGCCATTTCAATTTGTTCAACATCCTCCGAGGGCCGTACAAATGATTGACCTCTGCTTAAAAATACTAAAATCACAGCCCATTCATTTGGCCGTTCTTTCATGCTGTGCAAAGAAAAAGCAACCTCTTAATCCAGATATCTCACCATGGCTCGCGCATGCATGCACGTGCACGGTTGTGGCATGACCACCAAAACAGAAAGATATGGACACAAGATGTGTGCAAATGTATTTAGTTTCCTATCCATGTGAACATGATTTAAGTGGGGGGGGGACCTAACCTCCTCTAGGGGGGTCCGGGGGGCATGCTCCCCCGGGAACATTCTTTTTTAAATGTTGAAGTTAAAAGCATCAATCTGGTGCACTTTGAGAGCAACATTAGGAGATCTATGGATACATCTCTCAACACCCATATGAAACAGAACTGTAAGCAGATGTGCCTTTTCTTTATGGATATTTTACAAATCACTCCCCTTTCAAACTGTATTCTTGTTTATTAATAACAACTTTTTTTTACTGTCATATAGTATTTTATACCCGTTTACTTTATTCTCTTATTTGTTTATAACTATAATGATCATATAAAGATGTGCCTTTACCTCACTGGTTGTAGAAAAAGCTTCTTATATTCGTTAGCATAGCTAGCTAGCTAACCAGATGCTAATAACAACAAAGTTATTGACTGTATGACAGATGAACAGATCGCCACTGGGCTTAAAACTAAAGACACAGCCACGCAAAAACTGCGGCATGTGTACGGCTCCTTATCTGAAGTGCCGGAGCGACGTTCTGGTGCTCTCCAGTAGCCGCGTTCACACCAAGTACTTTGCCGTACTTAGTGACGGCACTCAGTGCCCCGGCACTTATTACCCCAGGGCACTTAGTACAGGTCGCGTTCACACCGGAATAAGTTCCCTGAGGGAAGATTACGCAAATGAGCCGCTGACGTCACTTCGTCTTCTTCTGCTTTGAGTTTACTGGCAGGCCGCAAACCACTTCACGGCGTATACTGCCACCCGGAGTCCCCGGCCGGAAGTCCCCGGAGTTGGGGACTGGCTTCAGTAGAAGCTGCTGGGACTCCCAGCAGCTTCTACTGAAGCCTTCCGAGTAAATCGCCAGAACGCCGACACCTCCTCATCTCCACCGCTCCCATGTTTTATTTTGTGTTGCCATAAGTTAGTCTCTCTGCGTTTGTGTGCTGGGCGAATGCTAATGCTAATGCGAGGATAATAAAATGGCGGCTCTACAAAACATTTCAGAGTTTTACGGGCCGTGGTTTGCAATTCGCCCAGCCAATCAGAACTGGGGCACTTTTTTCCCCCCGGAAAGTACCATCTCTCAGCAGGCACTAAAAATGGGGGTAAAAGTTCCCGGCACTCAGTGCTCTTTTTGGTGTGAACGCGACATAAGGGGTACTAACGGAACTAAACGCGAAAAGTACGGGGAAAAGTACTCTGGTGTGAACGCGGCTAAGCTTCAGAACTACACCCGTCAGACGAGACATATACCACGTGATGAAACGTTAGGCTCGTGTTGTGTTCAAGGACCCTGACCTTGGCCAGGAAAAACAGGCACTCACTTGTTTAATTATTTTGCGGTCTAGATTTCTTAAATGTTTTTCTTTTTTGCGTGTGTTTATAAATTACCTCGAGGGCCGTACCAAATGGTCTCGCGGTCCGTATACGGCCCGGAGGCCGGAGGTTCCCCACCCCTGAACTAAAGGCTGAAAAATGATCAGAGTTGGATTACTGTAGCTCCTTCCTGAAAATGACAAAAGGACATCATCAGCTTTATAAATGTTACTTTTATTGCAGGATGTTTCAACTGGTTTACATTAATTTGTACAGATGGTAATGTAACCGTGTCCAAACCCTCATGATGCGACAAATCATGCCAATTCAGATAACCAAAATCATTTTTCATGAAACAACATCCCCCTAACTACACCTTAATTAAGCACTTATTGTCATGGTTAAGACAACGTGTCAGTAAACAAACATTTTAAATACTATCTCCTTAATGCCTTCTATTCTCAAGATTCAGATAACTTTGTCACGTCTTCCTTATGTCTTGTGAACGTATCTGTATTTCAAAAATCAACCAAAGACCTCCTAAAGTCCTCTTGACTGACAAGAGCAGAGTTACTGTTGTATGCAACATGTACAGTTTGCTGTTTCATAAGAATATGAAAACACATCTTGCATCGAAGACATTTTGTTAAAAGAAATGACAGAAAAATCCAACAGAGGGTCAGGATGAAAGACACGGTTAATATACAATAAAACACTTTAAAACTTCCACATAGCCAACTGTAAACTTTACAACTACCTCCGCTCTCCGATCAGGAAGTTCATCGTGTGAAATATTTTAGAGGTCATTGACCGACAGGACAGATTTGAGTATGTGATTTTAAATGGAAAAAACAAACCAAGAGAGTGGCTTAGCCCAAATCACGCCATCAGATGTGTTTAAAAAGGGCTTAAGAGACATTATAGTGTATAGTCTTTGTTATATAATTCAGCATAGTGATGATTCAAATGCTACGATTTGGTAGATTTGACCTTAACGCTCTGCAAACACCAGCTATACTCTACCCTGCCACCGTCTTTTGCAAACCATGCATAGAGTGAACTGCCTTTAAAAGAAAATATACAGCTGAGGAATCAAATTATGCAAAAAAACAAATAAGGAAAGTAGATACATGTCAGTAAAGTGCAATTGACTGATATATAAACACAAGCTTAAAACACAGCGCAGGAGCCATACATCTCACAGAGTGGAACGTTGTTGTTGTTGTGAGGTTTGTTAAATGTTGGTATTTGTTATTATATTATAATTTAATGTTGTGTGATCACTATGGATCTGTTTGATCAAATGGATATTCGATGTATTCACATGTGCCCCTGAGGTGATTGTGGACGAAAGGGTTGAAGAGTCGCTCTATTTTTTGTTGTCCGCCACCTTTTGATAGCACATGCACAAAAACCTATTGCAGAGGGGAAAGCCAAAAAGCATAACAGGGCCTTTTTAATTTAAGATATTTCCCTGATTTTTTTTATCTCAGCAAAGTGTTTTTGGTAGCGCATCAGACAAAGACAACCATGCTTCTGACTTCAGCCTTTCAAACGACTTGTGTTTGTTTCCCTAAGTCCTTCCACACAGTGATTTCAAGATGGAGGTTGTTCAGAATGACATTTTAAAATGAGCTTCAATTCCAAACCAAAATCTTTGTATCACGATTTCTCTTTAAGGGCCAAGCGAAACTCTGACATCCCTCTGGTAGCTTCTCTAAAAGGACTACTAGTTACTCTTCCTTTTTAGCCGCTGGTGCCTCAGATGCAGAGCTCTCATTGGCTGCCGCTCCTTTGCTCTTCTCTCTCTGGTCCTGGCTGTCGATCCTGCCGTGCTCCTTCTTCACCAGCTCCGTCAGCTCCTCCTGGAACAAAAGACAAGGCACAGATAAAGGATTTTGATTTGGTTTGATTTATTTCTAATGTGTAAAACAATGACACACAAAAAAATAATAATAATAATTAAATGAAACATGAGAATGATTATACTACATCAGGCTATAAGCAGGAATCCTGAAGTCAAATGTAAGACCTTTTAAGACCTTTTTTAAGACCCTTTCCATACATTTGAAGACCTCATCGCCACTTCGAGTTTTAACCGGTTACCTTGGCGACACACTTTACCTCACATTGACTATATACAGTATTGATTGTCCTTCCTCCTTATCTTCCAACCATTTGGACGCAGACTTGCATTTCCCCATAACGATGTTGCTTAGCAACCGGCGTAAACGGACCTTCGCTCGCTATCAAGCAGTGAGCGTGCGATGTCCTGTTCACACCTACGCAATGATTACATTCAGGCAGACTGTAGAATACAACCTCTTTGGACAATTCATATACTTATTGAAAACAAGCTACAAAATGTAATACCTTGGAAAATGCCGTTTAATACTTTTTAATAACCTTAATTTTCGCTAAATTGATTTATCAACTTTTAATACTTTTTAAGACCCCGCGGACACCCTGTATACAAACTTAAGCAGTGTCAAATTGATAAACACAAATATTACTGACTCTAAATTATGTATAAACAAATGATCTACTTAATTACACATCCGAAAAGGGGTGGGAAGAAGTTTACACTTATTTAATCCCACCCCTTCTCCCAAAAACTAAATTATTAACATATATATAGGAGGCGTGTGGCGCAGTGGGTTAATGCGTTGGTGTTTGGATCAGGGGAGCACAGGTTCAAACCCCACTGCAGTCAGCATGTCGTTGTGTCCCTGGGCAAGACACTTCACCCCAAATTGATCCTTGGATAAAAGCGTCTAACAAGTAACATGTAATGTAATATATATATATTTTTTCTTAAAGAAATACATTTGTTATTGAAAAACCAACAAAACAAAAACATAAACCAACAAATAAGATAAATAAACCGTAAACTTGAACACATGGAGCCTCAGAGAGAACAGAGGAAGAGGAGGAACTGTAAGGGGACGGTAATAGAAACACAGTGTATGCTCTGCTGTGCTACGAGAAGTCCGTCCTCTGTGGTGACGTGCGACCACAACATCACACAGGAACATGAGAAATAGATTAGCACGACATTTCAAAAGCTCTCACGTTTTCTCTCTGTATTTGCTTCTACTGCGACTCTTCCTTATGACTACCACAGGTGCAAACTATACTGTATATTTAGAGGGTAGATCGAGGCAGATATCTTCAAGATGAGAGCTAGTGATATGGCCAACAACTAGATATTCAATTAAGGTGTGAATCTGAGGGTATCTCACTATGCATTTAAAGGTCACCTATTGTGCAAAATCCACTTCTTCATGTCTCTTCTACATCAACATGTGTCCCCTCTTCTTCATGTCTCTTCTACATCAACATGTGTCCCCTCTTCTTCATGTCTCTTCTACATCAACATGTGTCCCCTCTTCTTCATGTCTCTTCTACATCAACATGTGTCCCCTCTTCTTCATGTCTCTTCTACATCAACATGTGTCCCCTCTTCTTCATGTCTCTTCTACATCAACATGTGTCCCCTCTTCTTCATGTCTCTTCTAAATCAACATGTGTCCCCTCTTCTTCATGTCTCTTCTTCATCAACATGTGTCCCCTCTTCTTCATGTCTCTTCTACATCAACATGAGTCCCCTCTTCTTCATGTCTCTTCTACATCAACATGTGTCCCCTCTTCTTCATGTCTCTTCTACATCAACATGTGTCCCCTCTTCTTCATGTCTTTTCTACATCAACATGTGTCCCTCTTCTTCATGTCTCTTCTACATCAACAGTGTCCCCTCTTCTTCATGTCTTTTCTACATCAACATGTGTCCCCTCTTCTTCATGTCTTTTCTACATCAACATGTGTCCCCTCTTCTTCATGTCTCTTCTACATCAACATGTGTCCCCTCTTCTTCATGTCTCTTCTACATCACCATGTGTCCCCTCTTCTTCATGTCTCTTCTACATCAACATGTGTCCCCTCTTCTTCATGTCTCTTCTACATCAACATGTGTCCCCTCTTCTTCATGTCTCTTCTACATCAACATGTGTCCCCTCTTCTTCATGTCTCTTCTTCATCAACATGTGTCCCCTCTTCTTCATGTCTCTTCTTCATCAACATGTGTCCCTCTTCTTCATGTCTCTTCTACATCAACATGTGTCCCCTCTTCTTCATGTCTCTTCTACATCAACATGTGTCCCCTCTTCTTCATGTCTCTTCTACATCAACATGTGTCCCCTCTTCTTCATGTCTCTTCTACATCAACATGTGTCCCCTCTTCTTCATGTCTCTTCTTCATCAACATGTGTCCCCCTCTTCTTCATGTCTCTTCTTCATCAACATGTGTCCCCTCTTCTTCATGTCTCTTCTACATCAACATGTGTCCCCCTCTTCTTCATGTCTCTTCTACATCAACATGTGTCCCCTCTTCTTCATGTCTCTTCTACATCAACATGTGTCCCCTCTTCTTCATGTCTCTTCTACATCAACATGTGTCCCCTCTTCTTCATGTCTCTTCTACATCAACATGTGTCCCCTCTTCTTCATGTCTCTTCTACATCAACATGTGTCCCCTCTTCTTCATGTCCTCTTCTACATCAACATGTGTCCCCCTCTTCTTCATGTCTCTTCTACATCAACATGTGTCCCCTCTTCTTCATGTCTCTTCTACATCAACATGTGTCCCCTCTTCTTCATGTCTCTTCTACATCAACATGTGTCCCCTCTTCTTCATGTCTCTTCTACATCAACATGTGTCCCCTCTTCTTCATGTCTCTTCTACATCAACATGTGTCCCCTCTTCTTCATGTCTCTTCTACATCAACATGTGTCCCCTCTTCTTCATGTCTCTTCTTCATCAACATGTGTCCCCTCTTCTTCATGTCTCTTCTTCATCAACATGTGTCCCCTCTTCTTCATGTCTCTTCTACATCAACATGTGTCCCCTCTTCTTCATGTCTCTTCTACATCAACATGTGTCCCCTCTTCTTCATGTCTCTTCTACATCAACATGTGTCCCCTCTTCTTCATGTCTCTTCTACATCAACATGTGTCCCCTCTTCTTCATGTCTCTTCTACATCAACATGTGTCCCCTCTTCTTCATGTCTCTTCTACATCAACATGTGTCCCCTCTTCTTCATGTCTCTTCTACATCAACATGTGTCCCCTCTTCTTCATGTCTCTTCTACATCAACATGTGTCCCCTCTTCTTCATGTCTCTTCTACATCAACATGTGTCCCCTCTTCTTCATGTCTCTTCTACATCAACATGTGTCCCCTCTTCTCCATGTCTCTTCTACATCAACATGTGTCCCCTCTTCTTCATGTCTCTTCTTCATCAACATGTGTCCCCTCTGTGTAAAGAGACTCTGAAAGTTTCAGGAACAAAGATTCTCTCTCTTTTTGTCCTGATCCATTTATATAAAAACCTGTCTGAAAATGAGCTGATCAGATTTTGGCCACTTTGTGATGTCATAACGATGTGTTGGCTTGTGTAACCATTAGCCAATCACCAACCAAGGTAACCCCCCCCCCACCTTATCACCTGAATCTCCTCCTAGAGCACCATTGAGTTCTTTTTAACCAAATATCTCTCAGAGGGGCGTGGGGGAGGGGCTCCTTATTTTCATCTAAAGTAACAGACAGAGAATCAGCACTTTGGAAACAGGGCTGAAACAGAGGGGATTATGGGTAATGCTGCAATGATCTGTTTGGTGTTTGGAGCCAATCAGAGACAGGCTCTGTATATATCTGAGACCTATACTATATTGATGAAAAACAGTATATAACTTGATTCGGTACATAGTGGTGCTAATTTTGTAGAATTACTCTCCATAAGTAGCAATATCTCTAGGTTGTTTTCTGGAAAAGTGTTTAAAAAATAAGTTGGAAGTTGTGAGTTGATCTTAGAAGATAACATCCGAACATGAATGGATTTCTCCCCTTTCCAATAGTATTCAATATCTTTATAACAGGCCTTTAAAGGTAGGGTAGGTAAGAATGGAGAAACCAGCTCGAGTGCGCTAGAATTTGAAAATACACAACCGGAAAAAATCTGCCCCTTCCTTCAGACTTCCTTACAGAGCCCCTCCTCCAACACACACGAACGCGCACATGACCAATGAGGGCACGAGATAAGTTTGTGCACAGATGGAAGGCTGACAGGCAGGTAGGCCATCCAGTTATTTTAGCCGGGCCGGCTCAGATGATTGGTCGTGCTTTTTACAGCGCCACGGCTTCCACAGATGACATTTTTTTATGTATTTATTGTCAAAGCATTTCATGTATTCATTGCTATCGGGATGTTAAGAGCATTCCATGGAATATAACAAGTGTTTCTGAAGTGAATTACCTACCCCACCTTTAACATGCCTAATACCATAGATTTTCAATTATCCTTAAATGTGTGTGTGTGTGTGCTAAATATGAAACTAGAGCATGCACTCTTTTTGTATCACTCCATATATCAGATCTGTCAACAGCAAATTAAAATGTTTATTTAGCTCTGCTTTTAGGCGTAAAATATGATATAAATCAGGCAATTAATGGTATGTGAACAAACAATGCTCCAAAGTGTTGTGTTTGAATAACAGCGGTGGTTACATTGGACATGACACCATTACTGTATTTGTTGTTCAACGGTCCAGGAGTATTTAGAGTAAGTGTGTGTGATAGTTTTTGCAGATGGATTGTACTCAAACAAGAAATGCATATTTTAAGAGCCCCTATTCCCTTTCCTATAGTGTGTTATATAGATTTGTTTTGTGCAGCACAGGCAGTATGAGAACATTAAAGACCTTTTTGAACATTAAAGCATGGAGACATGTCCCAGTAGAGGAAAAAAAATACAAAGAGATGTGAGAATTAGCATGAACTATGACAGATAATTGTGCAACTTACCTTCCATCCCAACAGCTCAGCGAGGGCCAAACAGCCGTCATCACATGTACTGATGTGAGCTACATCTCTGGAGAACAAAACACAGGAGTTAAAACATAGACAAATCTCCATTAAATGTGTTTATTTCCAGCTCTAAAGCATAAGCACTGTTAAGATTAAGATTTTCATCGACATAACTACACTGTAGCTATGTAGGAATGACAATAAAAGCCTTGAACCTTGAATAATATTACAACACTTTCCCGGGCGTTTTAGAGGGGTTTTGTTAACATGCGCTGTCGGAGATGACTCAACAAACTGTCATTTGTATCAAGCAACAAGCAACAATGTTTGGATGTCATGATGACTGTGGACTGTTTCTGTGATTACTGAGAAAGTGAGATTAATAAGAATTAAGCTAAATGATGAGAGAACCAGAAAATGAAGCACAGGTCAAAGTGAATGATGCGTTGGCTCCCTCTGGTGGCGGAAAGGCAAACTGCATCATGTCAGTTCAAACCATAAACGTAGCCGCTGTGATGTCACCCAAGTTTATCCAAACACCTAATATGGCCTTATTGATATAGAGCAGGGGTGTCAAACTCAATTTCATCACGGGCCACATCAGCATTATGGTTGCACTCAAAGGGCCGGTTGTAACTTTAAGACTATATCATTAATTAATATAACTTCATAATTAACTACGTCTGAAAGCAGAAGTCTAGAGCAAATAATTGCAAGTCTCTTCAGTGAGAATGTCACAATATGATTTTAAAAGAAAAGCCACATTCTGGAAAAACATTGATTGTGACATTTTGAAAAAGAGAAGTGACATTTTGAAAAAAAAAATCTATTTATGAGAAAAAGGCTAATTCTAAGAAAAAAGGCATATTTGAAAAAAAAAAGTCAAATTCTGAGAAAAAGTCAAATTTGAGATGCATTGTGGGACATGTCGTTTATGGGCAACGTGCTTCTGTAAAGTAGCATGTAACCGTATAATAAACATATTATATTCTTTGCAAGCTCTTGTGGGGCCACATAAAATGAAGTCGCGGGCCGGATTTGGCCCCCGGGCCTTGAGTTTGACACCCCTGATATAGAGGATTAAGACCTTACAATCAACATTTACTGAAAATGAACCAAGACAGGTCTAAAGTTGTAAAAACTGACAACATCCAAACCAAACAACTCTGTTAGCAACCTGTCAATCACTAGGTAGACCTAAAGCATACACTGCTTTAACATATTACATAATAAATCACAAACTGAACATCATGATGTATTTAAGAAGCCTTACAACTAAAATTGAGACCATGAATTTATTAGAAAAATGTTTAGTGAGAAAATAAACCAAGTGAAAAGTATAGGGTCATTTTAGTTGCATCTTTTCAAACCTGGAAGTTGATGCTTAGTTCAAACTGATAGACAAAATACATGCACATTTAATATGATATACTGTTTATCAACCATTACTGATTATTTCATCATTTTGACCCAGGTGATACATTTCTTAAAAACTGTTCATCATCCCAAATAATCTCTTTCCCCTTTAATCTGATCCGATGTGTATAATCTGGATGATGTACTTCTCTATCGGGTAGATGCAATCAGATGTTCTAGATACAGGATAAGAAGTTGAAATGGTACAATAAAAGTAAACCAGCCAAACAATTTGCGACAGGGAGTCTCTCTGTTTCACCTGTACGCTTTGTCTGACTCAAAGTCCATGCCTCCTCCAAAACCCAGCAGCCCGAGCATAGGATCCGCCTGCGGAGGAAACAGGAAATACATCTGTGACGTAAAGAATAGTCAGCGTACAGGCAGGAAATGTTTGATGGAGGGGGAAACGCTCACCTGCCCGGCCTTCTCCATGTTTATGAGCAGTCTGGGGCAACTTTTAGAAACTCTAATGAGAGAGGAGAGAGGGCAAAGAAAAAGGGATGGAAACAAATTACTTAAAGTTCCCCGATTACACTGTTTTTCATCAATATATTATAGGTCTCAGATGGTGATTGGCTCTAGGACACGTGTCAAACTCAAGGCCCGGGGGCCAAATCAGGCCCTTGGTGGATTTAATTTCGGCCCGCAGGATCATTTTGGGGGGGTTACCTTGGTTGGTGATTGGCTAATGGTTACACAAGCCAACACATCGTTATGACATCATAAAGTGGCCGAAATCTGATCAGCTCATTTTCAGACAGGTTTTTATATAAATGGATCAGGACAAAAAGAGAGAGAATCTTTGTTCCTGAAACTTTCAGAGTCTCTTTACACAGAGGGGACACATGTTGATGGAGAAGAGACATGAAGAAGAGGGGACACATGTTGATGTAGAAGAGACATGAAGAAGAGGGGACACATGTTGATGAAGAAGAGACATGAAGAAGAGGGGACACATGTTGATGTAGAAGAGACATGAAGAAGAGGGGACACATGTTGATGTAGAAGAGACATGAAGAAGAGGGGACACATGTTGATGTAGAAGAGACATGAAGAAGAGGGGACACATGTTGATGTAGAAGAGACATGAAGAAGAGGGGACACATGTTGATGTAGAAGAGACATGAAGAAGAGGGGACACATGTTGATGTAGAAGAGACATGAAGAAGAGGGGACACATGTTGATGTAGAAGAGACATGACGAAGAGGGGACACATGTTGATGTAGAAGAGACATGAAGAAGAGGGGACACATGTTGATGTAGAAGAGACATGGAGAAGAGGGGACACATGTTGATGTAGAAGAGACATGAAGAAGAGGGGACACATGTTGATGTAGAAGAGACATGAAGAAGAGGGGACACATGTTGATGTAGAAGAGACATGGAGAAGAGGGGACACATGTTGATGTAGAAGAGACATGAAGAAGAGGGGACACATGTTGATGTAGAAGAGACATGAAGAAGAGGGGACACATGTTGATGTAGAAGAGGCATGAAGAAGAGGGGACACATGTTGATGTAGAAGAGACATGAAGAAGAGGGGACACATGTTGATGTAGAAGAGACATGAAGAAGAGGGGACACATGTTGATGTAGAAGAGGCATGAAGAAGAGGGGACACATGTTGATGTAGAAGAGACATGAAGAAGAGGGGACACATGTTGATGTAGAAGAGACATGAAGAAGAGGGGACACGTGTTGATGTAGAAGAGACATGAAGAAGAGGGGACACGTGTTGATGTAGAAGAGACATGAAGAAGAGGGGACACATGTTGATGTAGAAGAGACATGAAGAAGAGGGGACACATGTTGATGTAGAAGAGACATGAAGAAGAGGGGACACAGGTTGATGTAGAAGAGACATGAAGAAGAGGGGACACGTGTTGATGTAGAAGAGACATGGAGAAGAGGGGACACATGTTGATGTAGAAGAGGCATGAAGAAGAGGGGACACATGTTGATGTAGAAGAGACATGAAGAAGAGGGGACACATGTTGATGTAGAAGAGACATGAAGAAGAGGGGACACATGTTGATGTAGAAGAGACATGAAGAAGAGGGGACACAGGTTGATGTAGAAGAGACATGAAGAAGAGGGGACACGTGTTGATGTAGAAGAGACATGGAGAAGAGGGGACACATGTTGATGTAGAAGAGGCATGAAGAAGAGGGGACACATGTTGATGTAGAAGAGACATGAAGAAGAGGGGACACATGTTGATGTAGAAGAGACATGAAGAAGAGGGGACACATGTTGATGTAGAAGAGGCATGAAGAAGAGGGGACACATGTTGATGTAGAAGAAACATGAAGAAGTGGATTTTGCACAATAGGTGACCTTTAAACTCTGGAATATTCTTCCAGTTGAACTTAAAACCTGTACTGACTTTAACTTTTTCTCTTATGGTGCAAAACAATGTATATTAAGCAACCAGTCATGCCAACATTAATGACACTGTAATCTGAGTTTTAACATTGTAACTGTATTGTAATATTATATTTTAACTGTTCTATGTATTATTTTATTGACCTGTACTTGACCTGGTATAAATCATCTCCTCTCTTTTCTGAGATGAATGTATTTGTATGCATGGTCCTTGTTGAAATAAATACATAATAATAATAATTTAAAAAAACAATATGTTAGTAACCAGAGCAATGAACGATAAGTTGCAAAAATGTGGGAGAGAGATCCCACAGCTTCAAGCCCGGAGACATTTTAAGAAGACGATTAGAAGATTATTTCTGGAAAGCCTGAATCTTTTATAGTGCAGAATAGATTCAATGGGAGCTAGACGGTCATAGTTAGTGTCTGTGGAAAGCAGTAGGACATGAAACTTGATCTGCAGTACCTGCCGACTAAACCTGCAAACGGCTGGACCTGCAGAGACGTTCCCATGACGATGAGGAGATCACAGCGAGGAAAGTCCTGACAGGTCAATAAAGACAGTGTAAACATTTAGATTCCTACAGAGGTGTTATGTCATATTTTCTTAACCAGTCATGCATACATCCTTGAAAACCACCACCATGTAAACACACAAAAATCTCCTACATTTGTATATCATTTTGCAATTACGTATGAATAAATGACATCTGTATCTGTGTGCTCACCATCTTCATTGAAGTGAAAAACCGGACAGGTAGACTCTCTCCAAAGAAGACGATGTCTGGGTTAAAAGATGCAAGGGACACATAGGTACAAAGAAATGTTGAGATAAAGAGGGACACATATATCTAACTGTCATGTTTGTAGAGTAAGACAGATATTAGATGGTGTGCAGAAAGGTCCAAAGGGCTTTAAGGAAGAGAAACAAGGGACATCAAATACATTGGATAAAAAGAAGTGAAATGGCCAATGATCAACTGACCTGGCTTCACCAAACTGCTGCACCCATCACATCGGGGAATGTCGTCAGAAAAGATTTTATCTACAAAGCAAAGAGAGGCGGTTAAAGTCTGAAATGGTTGGAATCACAATCGCTCAACAACCAGAAGCTTTTTTCTTTTTAAAGGCCAGTGAAAGCGAACCTCTCATCCAGTCCAGGTTGAACTCCTTGGTGCAGGAGACACAGTGAGACGTGAAGAACGTTCCATGAGCTTCTATCAGATCCTCTCCCTCTAATCCGGCCACTCGCTCCAGGGTGTCGATGTTCTGAATAAAAACCCACACACATTTAAAGTACCCATATTATACTGTTTGTCATCAATATATTATAGGTCTCAGATATATACAGAACACGTCCCTGAAGTGTTTGGCTCCTAATACCAAACAGATCATTGCAGCATCCCATAATCCCCTCTGTTTCAGCCCTGTTTCAAAAGTGCTGATTCTCTGTCTGTTACTTTAGATGAAAATAAGGAGCCCCTTCCCCACGCCCCTCTGAGAGATATTTGGTTAAAAAGAACACAATAGCCGCGTTCACACCGGAGTACTTTTCACCATACTTTTCGCGTTTAGTTCCGTTAGTACCCCTTATGTCGCGTTCACACCAAAAAGAGCACTTCATCTCGGGAACTTTTACCCCCATTGTTAGTGCCTGCTGAGAGATGGTACTTTCCTGGGGGAAAAAAGTGCCCCAGTTCTGATTGGCTGGGCGAATTGCAAACCACGCCCGTACAACTCTGAAATGTTTTGTAGAGCCGCCATTTTATTATCCTCGCATTAGCATTATTAGCATTAGCATTCGCCCAGCGCACAAACGCAGAGAGACTAACTTATGGCAACACAAAAGAAAACATGGGAGCGGTGGAGATGAGGAGGTGTCGGCGTTCTGGCGATTTACTCTGAAGGCTTCAGTAGAAGCTGCTGGGAGTCCCAGCAGCTTCTACTGAAGCCAGTCCCCAACTCCGGGGACTTCCGGCCGGGGACTCCGGGTGGCAGTATACACCGTGAAGTTGTTTGCGGCCTGCCAGTAAACCCAAAGCAGAAGAAGAAGAAGTGACGTCAGCGGCTCATTTGCGTAATCTTCCCTCAGGGAAAAGTACTCCGGTGTGAACGCGATCTGTACTAAATGCCCTGGGGTCATAAGTGCCGGGGCTCTGAGTGCCGGCACTAAATACGGCAAAGTACTTGGTGTGAACGCGGCTACTGGTGCTCTAGGAGGAGATTCAGGTGATAAGGTGAGGGGGGGGGGTTACCTTGGTTGCTGATTGGCTAATGGTTACACAAGCCAAAACATCGTTATGACATCATAAAGTGGCCAAAATCTGATCAGCTCATTTTCAGACAGGTTTTTATAGAAATGGATCAGGACAAAAAGAGAGGGAATCTTTTTTCCTGAAACTTTCAGAATCTCTTTCCACAGAGGAGACACATGTTGATGTAGAAGAGACAAGTGGATTTTGCATATTAGGTGACCTTTAAGTCAATATAATATAATATAATATTTAGTACATTTAATTTATAAAGGCGCCTTTCAAGACTCTCGAGGTCGCCGTACAAGTTACACAAAACAAAAGTACAAAAAGAAGACAATATAATCAATCAATCAAAACAGAAAAGCAGAGGACGTGTGATGTGATCAGGGCGGATATGCCAGTGTGAAGAGATATGTTTTGGGACGTGATTTGAAAATGGAGAGAGACTCAGTATTCTGGATGTCAGGTAGGAAATAAGATATGAGACATCTTCAGAGTGTGAAGTGTTCTCCTACCTGAGAGTAGCAGCGTCTCAGGTGACCCTTGTCCTTCAGCAGCTTCATGAAGTAGTGACAGATTGTCGGCTAAACAACAATAACAAAAAGAGGCTGTTTTTCTGAAGTTGGATTTTTTACTTGAATATCCTGATGTATTTGTTAATTTCGAACAGTTTTCAACAATTAATATGAGGCTTACAAGGCAGCAATGTGTGGTTTACTACCTTAAACTGTCCTGGGTAAAGCTCCCTGGCCAAGGCGAAGAAAGGCTCTGGATGTTTCTGAGAAGAAGGAGAAATGTTATTACATTGGTTTGGTAAGCTGTGTTTTTTGTTTCTTAGTTTAGATTAAGGTCCCAACTTTCAAACGGCTTTCAGACCCTTCTTAAATGTGCATTATCTTGGCATTACACCACAACAAACATAATTGCAAGAAACTTGGCTTCTTAGCTTATCTTGTGTATCTAATTGTAAATTATAATAATTCAAAACTCACCTTAAAGTAATCGATCTGGAAGATGGCCTCAGGGTAAGGCAGGTTATATTTCTGCAGGTTTGCATACAGCCCAGTTCCTGGTGAGCGGAAATCAGGGATCCCAGCCGCTGTGGACGGAGATGATATTAATGGTCACATTTTAAACACTTAACAACAAAACGATGCTTTCAAAATTAATTGTTTCCTGGTACGACACTCACATGTGGATATTCCGGCTCCAACCATGCAGATGATGTTTTTACCTGTGTGATTGCAGAGAAATATTTGACTTGAAATCCTCACACTCTCATATATATATATAACAAAATCATTAATGCAATATGTAAACAGGAGAAAATCAATCCACTATGATGTGATGGATAATAGGGATGGACATTTGAAAGCAAATTTATATTCGAATATTCCACCCCCCAAAAAAACGGTTAACCGAATTGACATATCCTATTGTGAGGGAAACTTCTGTGTAGCAATGCAGGAGGAGTCACCGGCTCAAAGGAGGCACGGGGAGAGCTGGAGCTTTGATGGCAAACACTGATGGGTTTATTTGGAGCTTCGGCCGGAGAATTCACAAAACATGTCAAAGAGTCAGAGGTTCTGACTTCACGGTAGAGTTGCCACGTCAATTCTGAAGACCCCTCCTGTAGCTCCAGGTTTTAACTAGTTCAGAGTGTAATAATCAACATTCTTCAATAGATAGACTAAACAGCTGAGGGACACTGAATCACATTTGTTGTCGCTTATGGCTCGGGGTCATCTACACCCCGAGAATGATGTGTTCCAGGTGTCCCACAACAATAACTCTCTCTGACAGAGAGTCGCCCGGTCACAAACTGGTAACATTAACAATATGCTAGGGCAGCCTCTCCTTATGGGAGATAACGGCTGCTCAAGGTTGGTCAGAGGGCGAAGGAGGACATGCAGGGAAAATTATTCCCCAACACCTATAATTGTTTTGAATAAATAAATACATTTTCAAATAAATATAGAAATCAAACCAAGTTTTATATGATATTTTTCTTAAGATATTTAAAATGGCACTGTCGTATACATTTAATTAATCCATTTGATAATATGTAATCAACTTAGGCTACCCCTCCGATGAAAAAAAAAAAATTACAATAAAAATGTTTATAATTTATATTCGAATACCTGAATCAATTTGAATATTCGATGAATCATTCCCATCCCTAATGGATAGGCGGACAAAAACTCACATTTGCCGCTCTTTATGTATCGTGCCACTCCCTCCAGAGTCAGATCATCCAGAACTTTCTCTGGTGATCCGAGGCCCAGCGTGCTGGAGAAGAGGTTACGTAGGAAGTCCACTGAGGACAACCAGATGAAGAGAGTAACATTAAAACACAATTCAATGCATTCAGACACAATAAACAAATAGTATCGTTATGTTCAAAAGGAATTAATCAAACATTTTGTGTTGGAGCAGATGTATAATAAGTACTCCAGTGTTTTACTTAAAGTGGACCTATTATGCTATATTTGAAAAATATATTGTAGGGCCATACCTGTACAAAACATGTCTGTGAAGTTTTTTGCTTCAAATACCAAACAGATCACCCGTTGTAGCCATGCCTCATACTGCTCATACCCCTCTTTTGCAGCCCTGTTACAGAAAAGCGTATTTTGGGTCCTTAGTTAAAAAAAAAGGAGGCGGAGCTAATGCCTGATCAGAATTCTACCGTTAGCTCTGAGTGTTAGCGAGGCTTGCTAATGTAAACAAAGACGAGATTACGTCCAAAACACGTCAGGCATTGTTTCTGATAGCAACTTTCTGTGGGCCGATTTGACGTCATATCGGCAGCAAATATGTATCCGCTCGTTGTACCCCCGTTTTTAAAAGATTTGGGTACGGAGGAAAAGAGAAAGGGTTTTATTTTCTGACGCTGCGCGAGTTCCCTGACGCACCGGGGACACATATTTATGTATAAAAGACATCAGAAAGTGCATTTTGCATGATAGGTCCCCTTTAAGTAAAACTATTAATACTAGTGTTGAAATACTCTGTTAAAAGTAAAGTACAACAACTAAAAGTATGAATTATGCATAACGTCCCATTTTCTTATAATAAATTATGCATTAATGTATACATCCTTTAAAATGTTCAGCTGAAAAAGGTGTAGCAAACTTTATTAATTTTTATACTGGAATAGGGTTAGGGTTAACTTAGAAGTAGAGGAGTAAAAAGTGCAATATTTGCTTTCAAAATTCTAGTGGAGTGGAAATATAAAGTAGCATAACATGTAAATACAAGTACCTTAACATTGTACTTTAATTGAGTAAATGTAATTATAAATAACAGTGTAATAATGTAGCAGCTGTTATTAACTGGACTTTCTATTTGATGTTTTTGCACCACTGTCACAGTCACATACTCTCTGTGTTTCCTGCAGCCTCTTCTCCACTGCTGTCGTCCGAGTCCTACAAAACAAACCCCACAATGCTGACATTAAAACAAGCTGCTACACAAGCACATGGATGCATGAAGAGAACAGGCAGTACTCTAGTCAGAGTACTGCCTGTTCTCTTCATGCATCCTAGTGAATGGCTGCCTTCTTCTCCAGATCTGCGGAAGTCAGACGATGACAGACAGGTGACGTGTTTGTTTGGAAAGCTGACAGTCAGCTGAGTGGAATAACCCCACCTAAAAGTACTCGCTAACTCGATAAATAGTGTATTTATTATTAGTGTTTCATATATATTTTTGATGCATGTACTATTTTATTATTTTACTATTCTTTACATTTTATTTTTTTTGGAGGAATTGACATGTTGTGCCATGTTGACATTGTGAATGTATACTCGATACTCGCTAACATTGTCTAGCTACATACAAATAACATGTTTCTAACCTCGGGTTCAGGCGTAACTTCTTCCTCTTCTTCTTCTTCTTTTTCAGGACGTTCTGAAAAATGGAGAAATTAAATATCACTTGTGTCAAAAAATGTATCTTCGTGTTAAAGCGCTGTTAGCTTTATGGCTAGCTCAGTGTAGCACCGTTTATTTATTTAAATTAAAACTTCATTTATCATCACACAGTCTTCCTACCTGATGCTTCAGACATTTATCCGTCTACTGAAACGCTTTCACCACAAAGGTCTGATTGACAATTTATTTAAATCCCAGATTTCACGAAGTTACCACAGGTTCCTGGTTTATGCTACGGCGAGCACTCGGTTGTTGTTGTCCGTCAGAAACACGGTCCGTGTTGGTGGTGACCGAGTTCCCATGAGGTAATAGGTTCCTACCAAGGTTCAAGGTTCTTTATTTGTCATACGAACATAGCTACAGTGTAGTTATGCCGATGAAAATCTTGTGTCACAGGCTTCTCCAACAGTGCAACACAAAACACAGATGAATAGAAAATATAGTGCAAGTAAATAGTAAATAGTAAATACAAGAAGAAAAATAGTTTAAAAAGTGAAATAGTGCAATAAGAGTCTATATGCAAGTTATTTAAATATGATATATAGGTAAATAGATACATAATTTAAAAATATTTTTTAAGTAGCAGCCAGATTAATATTAAGGATGTTGTTTCAACTGTTCGGGTGTTTAACAGATGTTGCTTCAACAGTCCAGGTGTTTAACTATTCTACAATTAAAGGTCCCATGTCATGGCCATTTCTACTGATCATAATTCCATTGTTGAGGTCTACTAAAATACATTTATATTGTGCGATTTTCCAAACTCACATTGGTTTCTCATAAAGCATCTCTGTATTGTATGTGTATTCACTCTCTGTCCTAAACGGCTTGTTGGAGCTCCTGCATTCAAAAGGTTACTTGAGTAAAGTACAAAGATATTGGCAAGTGCTTGAGGAAATGTTACTTAACACCACTGAGTGTCACACACAAGTCTATATAATCAACAAGAAATTAATAAACGTGGAGAAGAGGAAACATCTACATTTTAAAATAGGCAATATTACCCAACATAATAATAATAATCCTTATATTTATTTTAGCACTTTATCAATGACTCAAAGCGCTTTACAAATACACATTACACATACAGATCATACATACATGTAATGGTCTACTGTGGACAATACCCACAGGAGCAAGTTCAGGTGAAGTGTCTTGCCCAAGGACACAACGGCTTTACAGACGCAGCGGCGGCGGGTTTTATGCATTGTAAAGTAGGACTGGCTCATAAAACAAGTTCTGTTCACTTAAAAAATGGCTACCAAAGCATTGCAGATGACATCTTTACATACGCAAGTAGCAGTGATTGCCTCATCCGAGTTATTTCTTGTCTCCCAATAGTTCTGGTGTCTTTGTCCATCTAATATCAGATCTGACCCTACAAGGCTCATACTGGATTATGGGCTTTAGTTTCCTCACATAAGCTTCCACAGTGAAGATTTGAAATACACATTTGGGCGTGTTGCCACAGAACTTGTATGTTATAGGTAAAGGTAATAAGTGTACACAAATCATGATATTGAGAAATAAAATCTTTATTCAGTACATTTCAAATCATATTTACATTTCTGCAAACAAAACACATGCACATGGTTCAATTTGCTCAATACATACATACAGACAGACAGACATACATACATACATACAGACAGACAGACAGACATACATACATACATAGATAGAGACAGACAGACAGACACAGACAGACATACATACATACATACATACACAGACAGACAGACAGACACACATCCATACATACATACAGACACATACATACATACATACATACATACATACATACATACATACATACATATATATATAGATTTATATCCGACAAACTTGAGGAAGTACATTGTTCCTTACTATTGAATTTTTTCACATAATTAGATGTGTGACAAGACTTGTGCAGATGTCCATTGCAAAATGAAGATGCTGGATATTGTCTGTGTCTAGTTAATCTGTGATGATTGTATTGTTAATGTTTCCATAGCATGAAAGCAGACTTTCTGTCTGACCACTGCGCTCTCACAGAAGACCCTCTCTCTTTCTGAACAAAGTCTCTCGATTCCTCTGACGTCCTCCTTCAGCTCTCCTCCCTCAGCGTGTGGTCGTAGCCGTTAGCAATGACATCGCACTTTGGTAACATCTCCTCCAGCAGGATGATGACCACGCCTGGACTCGAGATCCCAGGGAGGGACGACACATCCAGACGCTTCAGTCCTCTGAAAAACAGGCACACAACAAACAGTGAGAACATTTAAAGAGCCCTTATTATGCTTTTTGGGGGTTTTCCCTCTCCTGTAGTGTGTTATAGGGTGTTGTGCATGTAAATGGTCAGCGAGATCTAAATTCCAAAGTTCCCTCCAGAGGGAGTTTCTCTCTGCCTGAAAAGCCTCCATTGGACTCCTTGGTTTACTTCCGGAACAATTTGATAGCGCTCTAACACATAGCACGTGATAGGCTAAGGGGCGGGACATCTCTAAGCGGTTGACCAATCACAACAGAGCCGGCCAGCTAACCAATCAGAGCAGACTGGGCTCTGGTTTCAGACAGAGGGTGAAAAGAGGTGCTGCAGCACAGGCAGTATGAGAAAAATAAAGAGCTTTCTGAACATTAAAGGATGGAGACATGTGACAGTAGAGACACTACATACTGATATGAACCTGAAAATGAGCAGAATAATAAAAGTGATTTGGTAATGTTTCAAGTGTTCGGATACTAACTTGAGATTCCTGAGTGCAGCCAGGCCGCCTGTCGTGATGCGTGGACAGTGAGAGATGTCCAGTTCCTCCAGAGAGTCCTGGAACATGTGAAGCCTGGTCAGAAACCAGTCGTCCACTTCAGGACATCCTCGTATTGACAAAGTCCGCAAAGATTTCTGCACCTCTGAGGGAGGACATGAGTCAGACGGGGTAAGAGAGACAGAAAGTAAGGATATAGTAGGAAGAAAAGTTGTATTGAAAGGAACAAAAACCCCTCTTTACCGAGGTTGTCCAGCCCTCTGTAGTTGATGCCTGTGTAGTTCATGTTCACTTCCTCCAGGGGGGTGTTTTTGTGATCCAAGAAAGCCCAATTAAATTTGCCCCTCCGGTCTGCAATGAACCACTCTGACTGGCCGACAAACCTGAGGACACAACGAAGAAGAACACATGGAAACTGGATCACATTTTAACACGATAAATGTGTCCCCTATGCTGCATTATTACAGGAGATATGCTTAATACAAGGTAGAAGAGCATCAAGAATAGCCTTATACATACTGTAAGGGTGTACCAATGGTTTTGTCTACAGGTTGTAATTTGACGGTTAAAAACGATGTCTTGACGTTGACTTCCATATATTTTTGCCTATATCTGTGTCTCTTAAAGGGCTGGCACTGTGGGAATTGTAGTCTTTTATATTCCCTCGACTACAGAGGTAGCCACTAGGTGAACATATTTGGCTTTTTCACAAAAAACTAAACCAAAAACTGTCTCTAACACCGGCAGAAAAGTGAGGGACTTGTTTAATGTAAAAAAAGGCTCTTACCTGAACCCTCCCTTCAGACTCAGGATGTAATACGCTGCTGCGATGTCTGATCCGTAGTTCTTCTGAGTGTAGCCATAGTAACTGTGAAAGACAGAAGGGAAAAGTCAGCGAAGGTCAAAAAGATACGGAAACTTCACAAACTTGAACGGAAATAGGGATGGGCGATATTGAGAAAATCAGATATCACTATACTTTTATCTTCATGGAACAATATCAATATTCTGACAATATTGTAGTGCTTTAAAAATGATTTACAAGGCAAGGCAAGGCAAGGCAAGTTTATTTATATAGCACTTTTCTGTACGCGACAATTCAAAGTGCTTTTACACAATTACATTTCTTGCTAAATAACCATCAATAATTTGAATGTGATGACTAGTTGGTAAAGACAAATATAAAATGACATTACTTTACTGTAATGCAGCCTTTAAAACCATGGAAAGACACTAATGCCATATTTTACGATATACAGAATCTAAGACAATATTTAGTCTGATATCACAATAAAATCTATCAATATAATATAAAAAAAAAGGCCCCAAATCTTTATAAGGCCCTTCACTAATATTTTACAATAACCAATATTAAAAAAAATCTTAACTATTACATGCACATTTATTTTTGGAGGATTTCTTTGTATTCGTGCATTGACCTTTAGTTGGACTATATTCCAGGAAATGTGTGCATTAATCAGGAACAGCTGAGTCAGTTAATCTCAACGGAGAAATGCAGATTTTGATATGACACATCCTGTTACAACTGCTCCCAGTAACAGATACCAGCAGCAGCAGCAGCAGCACTGGTTTGGAAGCTTCTCGATGTTAAAGACAGCCAAAATGTTTCCTTACGTATTTCTCTTCTGAACCCTCTTCCACCGCTGCAGAAAACTCCAGCTCTGGAGCATCTCCACATCGTAGAAGCGCTGGGTGAGGTAGCGCAGGAACCTGGTGTGCAGAGGGGGGGAAGACACCAAGATGGAGGGAGACGCCGAGCTGGGGGGAGACACCGAGCTCAACGACCGTCTGGAGACGACCAGGAGAGCCGAACGCTGGCAACATCTGTACAGAGACTGTAGAGAAGATTACATGTTACTTGTTAGACGCTTTTATCCAAAGCGACTTACATACTCAATACTGTGGACAATCCCCACAGGAGCAATTTGGGGTGAAGTGTCTTGCCCAGGGACACAACGGCATGCTGACTGCAGTGGGGTTTGAACCTGTGACCCCCTGATCCGAACACCAATGCACAACGCACTAACCCACTACGCCACATGCCTCCCTAAAAAGTGCTTTTGTCCAGTACGGGGATCGAACCCACGACCTTGGCGTTATTAGCACCACGCTCTAACCAGCTGAGCTAACCGGACTTTCGGTAATATAAGATAAGATTAAACTTTATTTATCCCCTTGGGGAAATTATCTCATTTCATTTCATTTAATCGTTTATTTGAAGAGGGACAATGCACATTAATGAACACTTAAGGGCGACTGTGGCTGCGAGGGAGTGCGGTCGTCTTTCAACCATAAGGTTATGGGTTCGATCCCAGCCCGTGCAGTCAACATGTCGATGTATCCTTGGGCAAGATACTTAACCCTGAGTTGCTCCCGATGGCATGGCCAACGGTGTGTGAATGTGTATGAATGTTAGGTCCTAGAGTAAGGTACACTGCTCTGTATGCATGGGTGTGAATGGGTGAATGACATGTAGTATGTAAAGCACTTTGAGGGGTCGTAAAGACTGGATAAAGCGCTATATAAGTACAGTCCATTTACCATTTAAGACAAATAATGCTTCAAGTGTAAATATGCCGGATTTTAGCTTTGAGCTAATTTCCATCCGCAGTCCGTGACATAAGAACATGACATTTATAAAGATAGCAAAAATAAATACATGATATTCAGAAAGAGCATGAGCAGCATACACAAGCATTTACCACATGGCAGTACAATGTAGCAGCTACGACATATAAAGTGCAAGAGAAGTTACAAGTGCTACCTAAAGTGCAAGAGGAGATACCCCTGTCGTGCATTTAGCGGTGATCGCACGTCTGTTTGTTTCTCAACCATTCTTTGAGTTGACCTTTGAAACTATTGAGAGTGGGACAATCCCGTATCTCAGTTGGGAGGCTATTCCACAAAGAGCTGCCTTTAATGGAGAGGACATTTTGACCAAAAGTGGTCCGTCTGCAGTGGACTTCACAGTCTCCTCTGGTTTCTGACCTAGTGCAGCGTCCAGTGTGTTTTCTGTGGATGAATTCCCCTAAGGGAGGGGGGGGGGGGGCAGTCCATGTAAACATTTATAAATAAAACACATACTTTTAAAAGACTTAAAATTGTCAAAACTTGTGTTAATCAAGGATGGTACAGTGGTGGTATGAATGTGGCTTTCTGTCAGACACCTTGATAGCTCTCTTGTACAGCTGTTCTATGGGTTTCAGGTTTGTGGCACAAGCAAACGACCAGTTTGTAAAACAGTATTCAATGTGGGATAGAATCATACAGTGGAGGTATGACTTTGCAGCATAGACAGTTAAGAAAGGTCTGATTTGTTTAACATTTTGCAAGTTGAATTTAACGGTATTGGATACTTTCTTGATATGTTTCTTAAAAGTCAAGTTTGAGTCCAGTATGACTCCAAGATACTTGAAGTGGGAGACTAGTTCTATTTCTGCTCCGTTTAAAAACACGTTGGATCCTTCGATTTTGACTGGTCGTTTACTGAACATCATGCATACTGTTTTTTTACGATTAACTGTAAGCACATGTTGTTCAGCCAGTGTTGAACCAAACTTGCCTTGCCTTCTTAAAATAGTTCTCTATCTGTGTTTTTTAATTGTTGTTTTACTTTTATGTATGCAGCACGAGTCGACACCAAGTCAGATTCCTTGTACGTGTCAACCTACCTGGTGATAAAACTGTTTCTGATTCTGATTCTGAAAGTCAGGCGTTAATAGCAGCAACAGTGTCAGAATGAAAAACAGGATTCACTTCACACAGGGTAAAAATAAAAGATAAAATAGAATACAAATTAAAATAATAATACAGCAAAAAAAAAAAGTCACATCCCGTCTGGACTACTGCAATGGAGTCCTGTCCGGGGTTCCCAGCAAAACCCTGGCCAGGCTCCAATACGTCCAGAACTCTGCCGCCAGGCTTCTCACCCGCACCAAGCCATGGCAACATATCACCCCCACCCTCATCCACCTCCACTGGCTGCCGGTCAAGTCCCAGATTCAGTACAAAACACTCCTCCTCACGTACAAGTCCCTCCATACCCTCGCCCCCCAGTACTTATCGGACCTCCTCCATCCCTACACCCCTTCTCGGAGTCTGCGGTCCTCAGACACGGGCCTGCTCTCCATCCCCCGCTCTCGCCTCCGAACTGTTGGTGACAGGGCGTTCAGTGTTGCGGCCCCCACCCTCTGGAATGCACTTCCTGCCGAGATCCGTAATGCTGCCTCCCTGGACATCTTCAAACCATCATTACAAACACACCTGTTCACCGTGGCCTTCGGGCCCTAGCCCTTTCTTGGTCCCCCGGCTTCCTTTATTTTTTGTTTGCCCTTTGATTGTCTGTTTGTTTTGTTTGTCCACCATGTACAGCGACCTTGGGTCCCTTGAAAGGCGCTATATAAATATCATTTATTATTATTATTATTATTATTATAAAGTGATAAAGGAAAGATATTTACAGGAAACGTACTGTCCGGCAGCTCTTGTCTGATCAAGTGTTAGAAGAGGACTCTTAACTCCTTCCATAGACATGCATTACATCAAGGTGTGTGTTACGTAAACACACACCTTGTGATATCTTTGTCTCATTCCTTACGCTCTGTAATGTGAACTGTTGCATATTCTTCAGATTTATTTTCCACATTTCTGCACAATGCTACCTTTTTAAAGCACAGCTCTTTCCATTTTAAATTCTGATACACCGCACATTTTAAATGAATGTATTGCATTTCAATTAATCAAATGCAAATAAAGAGTCTGACAAACAGCCGATAGCATACTCAAGGTCAGTCTGTTATTGTTTGAGTTCAAGACATTTCAAAAACATTCCCCTATCAATTAGGAAACTATGAATTGATTGAATTGTTTTTTTTAACCCACAACTCCAAAAAAATCACTCTTTTAATGTGCGGATAATATACATTTCTATATATTAGAATAGACTATATCATTACGAGACATTTCGAGGAGCATCTTTTTACAATTGTCAGGTAATTAATTAAATGATCTGCATTTACAAATTACTCAGTGATGAAAATAAAAGTTACTTTCATCCCTACAGGACTTCAATGATTGATGACAGTCCGTTTACATTACTGGCTATCATGTTATATACTTTACTGAAGGTATGCATGTATGAGTAGGCTTTACTGTAAATGTACCTTTTAAGTATGATGGCATGTATCTGCATCCATTGAAAAGTGACACTTCATTTTTCCTTTTTGTGAGTTTGTTTGCCATATTAGTTGCTGACCAATCCCTGATCAATTGCTCTTATTATTGTCTTATTGTCTATTGCATGTCAACAATATAAAAACATTGCATCACTAAACAACTACATCACATAGGTGGCTTTAAGGCTAATGTAGCATTTTAAAGCTAACATGTTGTTAACAGGCAGCTACATGCAGCAACATACTATCAACAGCATTCAGCCTCTTAACTTAATATAAACATGTCTACACTCTGAACTGTGTAGGTAAATGTTTTTAAATAGTATGAACTACTGTATTAATAAGTCGAAATTTGAAGGGTAGCTTACCATGAAGGGGGCAGACATGACAGCAGCGTTCTACGGGAACACGTTAGGGAAAAACATCGCAGCTTCGCTTTTGCATTCAGCTGTTGTTCATCATGTCCGCCGCAGGGTGGCGCTGTCTGCTCGACTCAATGATGACCATATTTACCTGACCTGACCTGACATGAAGGGAGATACAAATAAGATGATAAAATGGCAAAAGGTTTTATTTTTATTTCAATCATAACAAAGTGAAAATAAATAGTGCCAAACTCAACGAAAACGGTTTTTATAGAAAAAGTATAGGCCTGATAATATTTATGATATATATATATATATATATATATATATATAATATAATCATCAGTAACTTAAAGGTAAAGATAGCAAACTAGTTGTGTAGTTGAACAAAGACAAAAGAGCGACGTTCATTAATTCATTTTTTATTAAAGCTTTTAAAGTATCTAGCTCTAGACGCAGGGGTGTCAAACTCAAGGCCCGGGGGCCAAATCCGGCCCCGCCACTTCATTTTATGTGGCCCACAAGAGCTTGCAAAGAATATAATACGTTTATTATAATGTTACGTGCCGCTTTACAGGAGAACGTTGCCAATAAACTACATGTCCCACAATGCATCTCATTTTGTGACATGCGCAATGAAGAGACTTGCAATTATTTCCCTTAGACTTCTGCTTTCAGACGTAGTTAATTATGAAGTTATTACCCTATCCGATAATAATCCAATGCAGAGGAAATATTGTAAAATAATACATTATTTTATATATATTATGTATATTTATATAGTCTTAAAGTTACCACCGGCCCTTTGAGTGCAACCATAATTCTAATGTGGCCCACGATGAAATTGAGTTTGACACATGCATGTATGGTAACGTTTGTATTAAATGTTCATTTAGTTAAAAAAAAAAAATTTCATTTTATTTAGCAGAAAAGCAGATGTGAAAAAAATAAGTAAAAAATAAATAAACCAAAGAAAGAAAGAAAGAAAAAATAAATTGAGTAATTGTTACAGAGCAGCTGTTAGATTATCAACCATCACTTTGCCTTTTTCCAAACACATTCACCTTCCATTTGAAGTATTTCATGTTTAACAATCTTGTAATATGACAATAAAGCCTAACATTTTAAACCTCGATCCCTAATAGAACTCAGACATATTTATTTATATACCCTTAATAGTCCCACAGAGGGGAAATTTACATTCTGAAAATAATTACTCATGCAGATTTCTGGCAATTTAATTTAAACGTAAATTCCTCATGGTGGCAGCCTGTAGCTTCAGTTTTATGTTTATTTTTACATCTCCTGTATATCCAAATGCATTACATTGTTCTCCACGCATTGTCTGTTTTTTTCTTTAAAATACTATTCACTCCTCTGATTGACAATTATCACTCTGCTTCTGCCACACACACACACACACACACACACACACACACACACACACACACACACATACACACACACACACACACACACACACACACACACACACACACACACACACACACACACACACACACACACACACAACACACACACACACGCGCAGAGTGAGTGACAGACGGCTCACACCTACTGGTGTAAACAATTAACAAATGAGATCACGGCTCGTGCTTCAGAGGATTGGAGGAGAAAGAGACAGTGGATGGTGACGCACACAATAGCCTTTAAATATAACAGTGAGCAGGTGTGTGTGTGTGTGTATGTGTGTGTGTGTGTGTGTGTGTGTGTGTGTGTGTGTGTGTGTGTGTGTGTGTGTGTGTGTGTGTGTGTGTGTGTGAGTGTGTGTGTGTGTGTGTGTGTGTGTGTGTGTGTTCAGTGTGTTAAACTCTGAATGTGTTCCCAATGAGGAGTCCATATTGCAACAACAAAATTAAGATTAAAAAACATTATAAAATTGCAGCATGCAGTAAACAATGCAAATGACAAAGTGTATATAAAAAAAACCAGGAGGATGTTCGTGGCAAACAGTCATTAAAGAACCAAGAGAATAAACATTAAAATAAGAAAAGACAGATATAAAATGCAAGATTAAAAGATTAGCATATGAATATTTATTCTCGGAAGACTGTTATGATTCATCAGATCGTTGTTATTAGTTGGAGATATTGATAAAGTGTGTGTGGAGCACATCACATTACTGAAGGGTTGGCTGAATGAACATCTGGACCAATGAAGTAAGGAGTGACTGACAGATGGATGGATGAATCGATCAGGGAATGGATGGATGGCTCAGCGGACCAGAACTTAATTGCATTAAAGGTGTGTGTGTGTGTGTGTGTGTGTGTGTGTGTGTGTGTGTGTGTGTGTGTGTGTGTGTGTGTGTGTGTGTGTTCCCGTGCAGGTATGTTTGTGTCTCCCCTCCTACATTAAGATTGATGATCATTGATTGTGATCCGTTTGAGCTTTAGGAATCAAATAGTCTGCATGCAGCTCTGATTGGAATCACGTCAAAACAAATTGATCTTTATCAGGTTGAAATTACTTTAATTTTTTTTAAATAACAACCCCCAAGAATATTCATTTGTTGAGATCAAAAGCATTTCTCTTTGAAATGCAGCCTGCTGTGTTGTTGATGAGATTTTTGCTCATATCATTTACATGTGGTTTGATGCACTGTATTCATACCCACATGAATTTTAGATCGTGCCTTAAAGGGCCCATGTCATGGCCATTTCCACTGATCATAATTACATTGTTGAGGTATACTAAAATAGATTTATACTGTGCAATTTTCCAAACTCACATTGGTTTCGCATACAGCATCTCTGTCAAGCATGTGTATTCAGCAGTATTCACTCTCTCCACTAAACGACTCGTTGGAGCTCTTGCCCCCCCCTCCCTGTGAGCCTAGTGTGCTCCGATTGGTCAGCTCGGCCACTCTGTTCTGATTAGTCAACCACCAGAGAGGCTGCGCCCATTGTCTAAACGGCTGCTCTCAGCCGAACATCAGTCTTATCATGGCGTCGGTACAGCCGTATATTTTATACGCCAACTAACCGAACTGTAGCTACAACTGTTGTTATAGAAGAGTGTGACGGCCCCAGGGCCTTTGTGGTGGAGCTGAAGAGGCTAATCAGCGCGATCACGGACACCTGGCCGGAGCCGAGGTGCTAGCCAGCTGCCCGGAGTCAAACGGCAGCCCCTCTCTCCCTCCAAGCAGCACAACGATCCTCTTCCCTGACCACCTATCTCTGCATTTACCACAATAAATGTGCCGTGGTTTTGTAAACTCGTGTATGTCTCCTTGTCTTTCCGTTGTGGCCTACGAGCCGGTCATAACAAAGAGTAAGTTATTTTTACCCGTTATAAACTACTACTGTTTGATGAGAAATCAAATCATGGTTTGCTATATATGAATGATATGTTATAGGAGCAAATAATTCAGGGAAGAAAGGATAGGCCTACTAAGTATTTCCATTGAACTTTATTTTTAGAAATGTACAAAATTAACGTAAATATACATATATACACGGTATATCGTCAATTACTCCACGTTGTCGGCATCTTGCTTATAGCAGCCGGGGCTTTTTGAGACGATGCCTCAGTGTGGTCGTCCACTCATGTATTGTCCTGCAGGATCTGGCTGGACGAAATAAAATGCAAATCACAAAATATTAGAGAAACTTAGTTGTTTTAGATTCGTTAGTAGTAGTTGTGGTAGGAGTGTGGATCTATCTAATGAACAGCTTGCCTGCTAATATGCTAACCTAGCTTTGTTTACCTTGGTAGCTAACACAATATGAACGTTAGCTTGGAGGAACGGCAACTATAATGGAGTGTAATAAAACTACTATGAACAAAAGCTATTGGTTCATATTAGGCTAGCAATAACGTGTTTATAATTGCAATATTATACGGGTATTCTGCTACGTTCGGTCATACATTGTAACTTGCATGAATACATTGTTTTGCGCTAGCATACAGCTAGCCTCGTTAGCTATACATGCAGTATGTACATGTACTGTCACAATGTACGGTAAATCACCCGGAGTATACTGTATGAGTATTCCGTGTGTGTGACTGCAGACATTCTCCTGCCATGACAAACATGTAAGGCCATCTGCTGACATTGTAGTTGATATATTTAAACGCTAGCAACGTAGCATAACAAAAATGTTTTTCCGACCAAACTAAGGTCTAGCTCCGTCGGTTAGATCGTAGCATACACGCTACACCAGCTATAATGTAATTACGTTTCGCGACTGACCGAACGGTAAATCACCAGGAGTATACGGTCTATGACTATTTCGTGTGTGAATGCAGACATTATCCAGCTATGAGGAACATGTATGTAAGGCGATCTGCTAATATTGGAGTTGATATATGGAAACGCTAGCAACTTAGTTAGCACAGTTAGCACTGGCTTAGCAGTCCGAAACATGTTTACACATTTAAACAGTCGTGGTAGATACCTTGTTTGATAAATACACAAATAACAATGCAAACTTACAGGTTGTGTACCCGAATCTTCCCCTGCTCCAAACGGTCCAAACAAGCTGTGCATATCCGGCCTCAAACTGGGCAATGTTTTGGAAGCTTTCGTCTGTGAAATGCCGGTTCTTCGAACCTCTGGAGGAACAGTGTTAAAAAGAAATTTCAACCACTGACTTCGTCGTGATTCTTCCGTCGGTAGGACAAACAGCTCAGATTTCTCCTCACATTTCAGGAAACAGGTCCTTGGCAGTGGCATGACTGGATGATTGTGAACTGAACCAGAGCTTCCAACAGTAAATGTTAGGCTGGCAGAGGGTGCGGCCAGCGCCGCTGGGTGTGGCCATAGCTCTTCGGGATTGGTCCATTTCGTTCCGGGTACCGCATGACATCAGGCCGTACCCGGAACTAAATGGAAGACTCAAATGGGCAGTGACGTATCTCCAACGAGGCGTTTTGGGGAGGTATTTTCTGTGTTAGAGTTTTACTCGCTACAGGGTGTACTTTGAGGGTTTTGACTCTGCACACCGTTTACATGCATAAAAACCTTCATAACACACAAGGGGACGGGTAATAACCGGAAAAGCATGACATGGGAGCTTTAATGGATCTCTTTAAAGC